GTGCATGGTAGGTTTTCTTTTCTATTTCGCTATATAAGAACATCACTTTTTTTTCTTTGGAGACAGCATAATTCATTATTTTCAGGTAAAAATTTTCAGTGGAAGGATTTAGCACCGCGACGTTTGGATTTCGTTGAATGTTGTGCGAAGGAAGAAAATGAAAGTAAGAATAGTAGTAGCCTTTGTCAAATCGAGGCAGTACAAACGTGGATTGCCACTTTATAATTTTATGCGTAATCCATGTGATTAAATTATAATGAAAAAAGTTTTATCTGTATGAATATATTTGTTTTTACTTATTTCTGAAAGTTTTTGATTTTTTGCACACAGTTTCTTCTATCTTTTTCTATTATCACATGCTTTTAAAATAAATTATTTGTTTTTGAATACATTAACTGTCGGTATATTCGTAATCTTATTTATTCACGACTGTAATGTGAGGTTTGGGTTTTTGATTTGGGTAAGCAATTTGCACTTATGTGAATTTGATGATGCAAATTATTAGAAGCTAGTAGTTATATCAGTGTTTCATCACAATAAATGTCTGTAAATAAATACATTTTGTTACATATGCCAAGTATGTTTCATAAGTTTGCTTATTCCTTTGCTGAGTTTCTGATGGTGCGATTGAAATTCAAACTTTGGCTTGGATATGAGTTGTACTCTGCGTCATCATTCCAACTATTACAGTTTTCTCTGTCAGTCAGTCAGTTATTAAAAACAAGTTTGTGCTTGACAAATATATTAGAGTTACATCTAAATTAGTATATGGAGATTCGTGATTCTTATGAGATATAACATGAGTTTTTAAATTACGGTAGAAGTAAGAACTCGAAACTGAATTAAAGTGAGGAACCTGGCAAGATGCATGTTTGAGTGTTGGTTCTATTCATTATTGTGTTATAAATTCAGATACTATAAGGATTGTGGTATCGTGCACTTCGTTATTAGTGCTTGTATTTTTTATGATATGGCTAAACAGTTAGATCATAAATGGACAAAGAATCGAAGTAATGAAATATCTTAATAATTAAATACTACTTGCAGATGCTTGGCTTAACAGTTGGTAGTACTTCTCGAATCGCAATATCGGAGTCCTGTTTCTGTATTTCAAAAGCATTTGCGTCAGGACGATGGTGGCCTCAGCCTTTGTTAGTTTCATTGATCTTTTGATCAAAAGTAAATCTTATGAAAGTTTTTGAAACTTTTGTAGGTTATCATTTTAGAATAACTAGTTATTTACATAATTAAAATATTCGGCTTATGGGGATTAGTAAGCAAAGAATAGAAAAAAATTAGTTCGAACAATTTATCTAAGAGAGGTAATCCTTGAAATATATGCGCAGACTTGCTTTTGCTATTCACTACATAAAAACATTTATTATTTTAACTTTTCAATTAAAACGATTGTTGAAAGATATTTTGCGTTAAAGAAGGAATCTTTATAGGATAGGATGTTGCGTGAATATTAAATAATATATCACTGTCTCTTATGAGCACTAGTTAGAGCTATAAACATCAATGTTTCTGAATTGAAGTATTATAATAGGATGCGCCAAAATAAAGATTTTAAAATTAAACTAATATAGATTAAACTTGAATTATTCTCACTTGTTTATATTATTTATAACAGAGTCCCTCCTTTTTATCAGCTCTTGATTCTTTCATTTTTTCAAATGCCTTTATATGAATGATTGAGAACTCCCTATTTCTAGAAACTGATTTTACTGTCATATTAAGTAACTTATGATTTAATGATTGTTCTAGTTTTATAAATTTTAAAACATGCTATGCCTTGTAAAAAATAATATTTCAATGTTTCTGTATTTGTTTGACAATTATTATAGAGGTAAACTCTCTTTTTTTTTTTGAATTCTGATTTAAGAGGACTCATCCACTTGTGTTAAGTATTTCTAGTGAGTTATAAGAATATTTCAGGAGCTGTATATATTATTGCTGTAGTAATGCGATCTCTTCTTCGTACTCAAGTAAACTTGACAAGTTAAAGGATGCTGATTCTATCAAAAAAATGGATCTTGAATCTACCGCTGTTGTAACTGCTGGAGTGGTTTCACCTTCTGATAATATCGAAAAAGAAAGTTCATTTACGAGTAGTCTCATTCTTAGTCCATCTGATAACAAATTATTGCGTGAAGCTATGGCACCAATTTACGCTAAACCTCGTGGAAATGGGAAAAACGTTTATAAAACAGAAGTATACCGAAATGGAGAACTCTTAGCAAATTACGTTTTATTCGAAGATTCGATGGCGAAGTCAAAGGTTCCCTGGAATACATATACAGCAATGACGACGGAAGAACGTGATATTTACATGGCTCATTTGAAGGCGATTCGAGAACGACGTTTGACTTATAAAGATCCAATAACTAAATCTATTGTCAAAACAGTGTCACATCATTTATTAAGAGGAAAATGTTGTGGTGACGGTTGTCGTCACTGTCCCTACCAACATGAAAATGTTACTCCAGAAATGAGAAGATCTAGAATATGGAATGGTGCTTATTATGTTTAGGACTAAATTTTAGAATCTTGACTAAAGTTGTGTCTTTAACGAATTCCTGCAATTTTACAAAAACGAAACAACGAAAATTGAAAGTGCGCGAAAATGATTTTATTGCCTTAATAGGATGCTTGTGTTTAGTTTAAAACTAGCACTTATTTTGTTGATAATGTAGATAAACATGATTAGCTTCGTTCTATTATCCGTTGAGAATTAACTTTCGAACATTTACGAGATATTTGTCATATTGCATTGATTTTGTTACAGAGATATTTGACTATGACTGTGAAAATCTACTTGTTTCAGAATGTCTTTATTCGTTGTGAGTTTTGTAATAAATCTCTGCTGAATATGCAATAAACTTGGTCATTTTTGCTCTGATCAGAACTGCATTAGATGAATGGAATTTATTTCTATTGTTGCAAAGACATTTTTATAGCAGTTTAACTCCTCACTAACAGTTATATGAATGGACGTTAGTTAATACTCTTTCTTTGTAGAGAAAGTTAAGTAAGTTATCGACATTATTTAATCATGAATTTAAATGACTTGAGGGAATTTACATGTCAGTAATTCTGGTAATAATAACCTTGACTTCGTATTATATTTCAGGCATGAATTAAGTCGACATCGGACTCGACCTCCGAGCTCGGGAATTCATCGACGTACACGACTTCTGGTTGTTGATAATTCGGCGCTTGGTAAAGAAGCTAACACATCTGGAAAATTGGCGTATTGCATCGACGTAAAAAAACCAGGTGGACGCAAAAAACACATGCCTCACGCAAGACTTGGTGATAAAGTAGGCAAAATTTTTTTCCCGAGAATATGAAAGTTTTTCTGGCGATCAAAAAAAACCGGATATTTGTACTCATAAATAGCTTAATTACTGAGTAAACATTTTTCATGGGCCCAATTTGTGAATGCAATGAGTTCGAACGCTTTATTCGTTGAAAAATAAAAACAAGTAGAGTTGCGAACTTTTAGGTTCTTTCTACTTGTATCAATTTTATTTGCTGCCATAAATATCATTCGCTATTTTGATTAGATTTTGGTTGCAATACGAGGAGAAATGAAGCAAGCTTTCGTGGTTGGAGCAAAGATTCACGTAGATTATCGAAAACATGGAATACCTTCAACAGACACCAATAATATTGTTCTTTTGGTTTGTCTAAATTTTTGTTTTTGAAAACTAATGGATATAATGGAAGTATTTTGGAACATACAATATAATTGGATGACAGCATAAATTACTTAATTCAGGATGATGAAGGAAACCCACTTGGAACTCGAGTTTTAGTGCCAATTCCTGCAGTCCTTCAAAGGAAACGTGCTAATCTGCAGTTCTCAAAAATCTTGTCAATTGCTACAAAATATTTTTAATCTAAGCTGATCTTGTGAGTATTTTCCATATCATCCTTCTAGCTGTTTTGTCATTAAATAACTGAAAGAATGATACGAGATTCTAAAACTTTACTTCTTTGTATTCTAAGTTTTTTTTATTATGCTAAATATGTCAATAAATACTGTTAATGTTTTTTGTCCAAAAAGCTGTCAAATCTTACATTTCTCCAAACTGTAAATAACCTATATATGTATTTGCAGAACTACAAACTACAAAGTCACAAATTCTTGAAGTACAACTTACTGCAAATTGAGCCTTTAGCCTTTACTAATTATGAGTGATTCAATATGCAGTCTCATTTGTAAAGCATCCACAATAAGAAAAATGTCCCTTGACAATTACCTTCAAGTTCTTTCATTAATAAATTTTAGAACCGAAGTGGTTATTAATATCTGGAAAAATAAATCAAACATCAAAAATCAGTTAGAACTTCACCATTCACATTTCTCATTGTATTCTTATAATCAGCAAGATATGATAATCGAGCAAAAAGATATATACATATTTTGAGCATAAGTGATTCTTTTGAATTGTAAACCTCAGGAAGGTCAGTTATTCGAATACACAAATCAATTTACAAGGCGAATGTGATAATGCTGTTACTTCAAAGAACCAGTCACTAGTTGTGTTTCAAACAAATCGACAGCATGTTTGATACTTTTAATTTTTTGTGACAGTTCCCGTATTGCAGCCATTGATTTATTGAATTCCTCAACCTGGTAAAAATTATTGTACAAATTGATGGGAGTTTCTAACGGTAGTAACAAAATAAAAAAATTAATAGTGATACAGTACAGAAAAACAAGCCAGTTCTTAGTAGCTACAAATAAAGAAAAAATAATATATTCACACGAATATATTTTAGACTTTAGCTTTTTAAATATACAAAACGGTCAGAATTCAGTAAATACATTTTTGGATGAAGCAAACAAATTTGCTGGTACAGTACCAAAACTTTATATCATCAAGGAGATACCAAAGTTCCCAAAATAAAAGACCATGCAACATATGCTTACTTTTGCTAATAAAGCATATGTAGACTTGATAGTTGTATCTACTGTATCGCAAGAAGTTGAAATTGAGTCTGTAAAGCATTCAACTGCTTTAACTGTTGCGTCAGTCATTCCTGAACATACAGATGCTTCTAATAACAATTTTACAATCTCAATAACACTCAAAAAAAAATAGAAGATGGTGATTCAAGTTTGTCTGCAATGTTTTGGATGAAATTTGTTAGAATATTTTATTCTTACGTAAATAATTTTTAATTCTAATTTGAGAATTTTAATAACAGTTTCTGGAAACATTCAGAGCAAAATCGAATCACATATTATTCCTGGCATTATACCTAGCTTATAAATAAATGGAGCATTCCAAAAGACGAAATTCATGAATCATTCAATACATCCATTCGCTGATAGCTTCTTTTAAGTAATCACATTCGAGGGGAAAATAAATACAATGATTTAAATTTTCTATTTTGTCCCTTCAGCTCATCGTGCTTACTTCTATACTGAATACTAAACTGAATCTACCATTTGTAATCCTATAAGTGCTTTCATTGTTAAACTATTTCCTTTAATATAAGCAGAACGTACCACTTAAGGAATTCCGTAATTCAGATAGCAAATTATTGATATCTGTCGATATTGCTCTCGCGTAATCTTCAAGGTTAGCTAAAACATTTGGATCAGGAGCCAAATTATCATTCATACTATGATTAGGAATTTTACTGTCAATAGATGAAATTCTTGTGAATTTCGAGCTATCACGAATTCGTCCTTCAAGATTTTCAACCACGAATGTATGCTGCTCATCACTGGCTACATTAGTGGACGTAGAAGGTTCCATCACAGTTTCAGCATCGGTAACTGGATTCATAAAAGTTGATAATCCCTAAAATTTGAAACAAGTCTTTCAAAACTGATTCAGCTATTACAGATTTTTCATTTCTCAAGTAAGAAGAAACTTCGTCAAATTTTGCATATAAAATCATTTTATAAATAAATGCGAGAAAAAAAAAACCACTTTTGTTAATTATATTATTATTATTTTGATAACTAAAATCATTATTTTGACAAATAAATGATAAATTTTATTAACAGAATTTTTAGTGCAATTTGTTAAGCAATTTTTCACAGTATAAATATTAAAATTGATGTTCTAGAATCGAAATTAAAAAAATAATTATTAAATAAATCTAATATAGAGAAATTTTGAATAAAAATTTTTGAGTACTTAAAAGGGAAAATTTTTTACAATTAATAAATACCTAAAACGAAAAACAAAGTAAGATACTCACGTAAGATTGAGAAAGGGTTGAGAAGTATATTGCAAATAAATGAAATTTGTTCTATAGAACTTAACTTTAACTTTATGACACTACAACCAATCAATATGAAACAAAAGTTATCGTCAGTAACCGCAAAATATCATGAAAAATTACACATGAAATCTGCTCAAGTATTCGATCACAATACTGAATATTATTTTTGGTGCTCACTAGTAACATATCAGGTTAATCACTTCATACTTTATGTTTCAGTCAATAAAAGTAATAACTAATATGTTTATTGATTGTTAATGTCATATTTCAACGGATAATTTACAAAGCTCTATCTTCGAAGTGTAGAAGTTAGACGTCCGAAGAAATAGTAATTTGCGTAAATACGTTGTCATACAAATGAACAAATTTTTTCCAGACAAAACCATTATGCAAATAACTATTGTATTATCCGTTGAAAGAAGAAATAATGAAAAAAAAATTAAAGAACATATTAAGTGTTGTTTACAAAATTGTTGTAAATTCGTTCAAAAAAAGATAAATTTTCATACAATAGTAAGTTAATTTTTGTACTGTAATGCATCAATTTACAGTGTGATTACAATATGAATTGTTTGAGCAATGAAATTTGGTTTATAGCAATAAGAATTGGTGTGGATATTTTAAATTAAGTATTCAGTTGTGTGCTAAGAATACAAAATATAATATTCATCCATGCAATTATATTTTTATCAGAAATTTAGTAATATTTGAATTGAAGAAATTAGAGTTTTGCTTTTACTTTCTTTTGAAAATATCACAGTTTGTGTTGTATAGCGTACAGAAAATAGGGTGTGACGTGTCTACTCTATTTTAGCTTTTAGTTTCTTCTAATAAAACCATTTCAGTAAAAAGTCAAATTAATATACATTTAGAATTTGATACTTAAAATGTGATTTTTTTAAGGAATTTTGTTTATTTTTTTGAAAGTAAGATACAAAGTTAAGAATATTTTAAAGTAATTGTGTCTTCACGGAATGTTACGTGAACGTGAACTTTAAGCGATCGTTGTGAATTTTTTAATAATTAGGAGTAATGACTTGATTTTCTTGATTCTAAAATATTTTTTAACATTTTGATGTTGGTTAATTGTTAAGTGATTTGACGTGGAATTTCCATATATGGGTTATTTTATTGAGTTAATTGAAAAATTATTTCAAAGTTAGAGAAAAGTGCTTCAAAAAGTAACTCGAATAGTAAAGTAATTTCAGAATTTTCCATTTTTTATCTCTAATTTTGAGTATCTCATATTGCAAGTGTTAGAAATAATTGAGAAAAATAAAAAAGTGGAAATGACTTGATTTCCGTCATCATTAAGTGTGACCGATGTATTGAACTGATATTTTGACTGAAAATATACAACAATGGGATTTATTTTTAATTTAACTGGAAAATACAATTACGTCTATTTACTCAATTATTCTACATGTCTGAAATTTTAAATCATTTCAAATACAAGTCAGTATTTTAAATGAACACGTAAATTTTATTAAATGGCATACGTACTTTATGAAATCGAGTGTTGTTAGCGTTGTATCCTATATTTATAGTTACAGCTGCTCAGATAGGTTAATTGGGAATTATGGCTGATGAAAAGGCTGGGCGAAAACCTGAAATCAAAAATTCAGGTCATAACAAATGAGCGTCGCAAGAAGAAATAGGTAAGGACGAAAAAGTTTCCGAATATTTGCAAATATTGCTTAAAAACAATTTTTATCATAAAAATGTCTGCTTTACTTGTTATTAATTGTACTTAGTACTAAATTTTTGGTAAGATATGTTCATACGTAAAAATAAATAAATCACTGTTCGACTCACATTGAAATCTTTGTTAGTTATTACGTGTTACTGTATTATTTTAGAACAAAAACGTCATTCGATTATTGATTGCTTAATTTTTGACTTACTAAAACAAACATATATCTATTGAAATTTGCTCATGAATTAGAGCATCGAGAAGATTGATTCTGGCTATATTTTTGATGCCAGAAAATTCAGAATCGAATTAATCTTTTTACAGTCATCAATATCTGCGTTGTCTTCTTAATTTATTACAGTTATCCAGCAAGATTCATTTAATCTACTCGATATGATTAAGATCGATCGTCTAGATCCACCATGTATTTTACTTACTTTCTTTTCTCGACTGAATCCTGCAGATAGTTTCATCTTTTATGGATAAGATTAATTAATGTTTAAGTAGATCATTATTAATTTCGTAATTTGTTCGATAAACAATTTATGATTCAAGTAGATCTTTATCAATTTTGTAATCAATCCCGAATTGTTCATTAATTAATGCTCTATTCAAAGTAAATGTAGTAAAATGAATCCTTTACTGATCAAATGAATCCTTTATTGATCTAATCAGATCTAACAGAAATCAATATTCCAGTTATATGCAAATTGATTTTGCAAAATGAAGAAGAAACAGACAAGAAAGAAGTGATGCTTCAGACAAAATGAATGGCCACAATTGCTTAGAGCCAAAGCCAAGTGTTGAGTTTTAGGCTCAGTCAACTGAATCGATAAAGCCAGGCCTCGGCTATTCTAAAACCTCTTGGCTTTTCCAGACTTGGCTTGGTTGTATTTTAACTCAAACCAAATTGTTGGTTAATTGATCATTGCTCTTTTTAACTTTCACTTGATAAGTAGCCAAGTCATATTTAATTACTGATTATTATACTTATCTGTATTTAAATACGATTAAAATGTCAAACTAAATTACAATTCCTTGCATGAATACACTTATAATACATTGAAAGTTTAGCGCGTAGAATTTACGTAAAATATTTATTGTATGAAAAGAAATTCGATAAATATTAAGTAGTAATAAAACGAGTATATCAATTTTGAATTCTTTTCATAATAAATCCCTGTAATACTTTTTCTAATTAAGCATAAATATCTAGATAAATACCTCGCATTAAGTATAAAGTTTAGCTCGTCTTTACGTATATTTCTACGTGTGTTTGATGATTTTAAACTCCTTACATTTATTATTCACCATTACGATCGTGTAAAGTTCTTATTTCTTATTTACTCGTTTCAAGTTACTCTTGTCTTTATGTAAATACGTGCGTATACGTGCACTTGAATGTATGCATACTCTAAATGATTTGGAAAAAAAACAGCAATTCCTCAAGTTCATTTATTTTCATGAAAAAATAAATTCGTGTTTTTCTACGTCACTTTATCTGCCATAAGAATATTACACTGAATTGTCACCAATTAAGAAAATAATTCCAAGCCAAAAAAATTATTTTTAATATATTAGAGCTAAATTTGTGAACATTAGTCATAGTAATGTGTGAATTATTGAAATGTTTGTTTTACAGCAGAAGGCTATTTTGGTTACCCAGAAATACGCGGAAAATGCCCTTATAAATGAAAATTTTAACGTCAATTTATTGTATACGTATGCGTGAAATTTAAAATTTACGTATATTTTTTTTGTGAATCTTTGATTCACAAGAAAACTATAATGGAAAGAGAAATTGTAAAAAAATAATCAAATGTTTCCATTATTAACGTGAAATTCGCGAATGGCTCTGAGTATACAAGTCTTTTTTTCTACGAATACTTTCCTATGTGGGTGAGTCTGTCTACCCGTTCACGTATGTATGTTTGGCCTAACTACATATACTCATTTGCATGTGGATTTTATCATGTCTACATGTAAGGATACGCTACTGCACGTGTTGTTCTATATGCAAGCGTGCAAATGTGTCTACTTGCACACGTAAAAGTATGTTTTGTGGGTGTATGCATCATCCCTTAGCAATTTTATGCTTGCATATTTTATTTTCTCCTTTTACTTTTTGTCTAAACGTTTCACCACTAACATATATGCTAATTTAGTTGAAAATCACTTTGCATAACTGATTAGTCTCACTTCATTTGACAATCTCTCAGATGAGTTGCACAAGTATTCAGCCTCTGACATATGCCTCAGATACATCTTCTGCTCAGATAATTTAGTGGATTACAATTTAGTACTATTTACTCGTAGGAACTTCTTTTGTTTATCGTCACTAATCCGAATATGTCCATTCACAACTTTTAAATAATCTTTTGCAGTTCAGTTCATCCAACTTCACTGCATTAATTTAAACATTCTAAACTAAATATTATAATTATCAAACTAAAATCGTTATTTGGCTTCAAATGTTTGTTCGCTCTTACTGAGCTCAATGATATTATTTATCTCACAGCGTTTTATTTATCATTTTATTATCATATTTTGTTATACAGTATTCTTTTCATTGTGCTAATATTTATTAATATTTAAATTCCTAAATTATTGCTATTTTCTTCGAGAATACTTAAGTTTGCGTAATTCTGAGAGAATCTAAAAAAATACTTCTCTTAAAAGCTCCTTAAAAACCAATTTTTTGTGTGTATTTTTGAAAAGATTCCTTCTTAAATATTGCATTCTTACTCGATATAATTATTATTGAAAAATTTTATTCATTCTTTTTGCAAAAAATGAACATTTATTAGATATCTGAAGTTGAGTAAAACCAGCTTCCAACTTGTTAGGATTCTATAATTGAAATCGAAGTCTTAGTCAGTAATTTCTAGGATTCTAAAATTTAAGTCAAGTCTGAAATATACAATTAGAGAACATTTCATTTGCAATTGTTACCATTTACTTGTTTGTTTTGTCTTCTAAGTTTATCATTACAAAATTATATACATGTATATAAAAGATAAATCCGGTTTATTGGTTTACTTTCAACTTTGTATGCCATCACACCTTGTGATAAGGACTTCTTTATCATTCCCGCCTCATAATAATCATTCGAAATTTCAAATTTAATTTGAAATAATTGTATTACTTATATTAATTTTGTTATATTCTACATAAAACACTTTGTTTGATTAATTTTTGATTTCTGCTACATTTTAAGCACTGCTTTTTTAAAATATTTCCATTTATTGCTAATAGCTTTGAAAGCGAAATATTTCTTTCACAGTAACAGAAAAACTTATTTACTTATTTTTCACGTATTTTCTGTAACGTAATTATTTTTCAAATTTTTATTACTTATTGTAAGTTGACTTTAAAATTAATGGCTTTTTAGAACATTTGAAGCAATTACGACTGAAACGTTAGTTTTAAAGTATAATTGAACTAAACATTTTGTAAATGAATACTGTGTATGTAAATATTAAGCTTTATAGTTCACAAATATTTACAAAATTAGGTTTTGCTAATAATTTAAAAGTAATTTTATTCAATGTTAAATTTATTAGTAGTCCACTACAGCACTAAATTAAGTTTAATAATGATAATTAATGATAATAATAATATTAATAATTGTAGTCAACAACAATTTTTTCCATTTTTTATAAATAGTTTTATCTGATCTAATTTAAAATTTCTGAATTTGATCTCTTTCTCAAATTTCAGAATTCATTGACAGATAATTACTTTTCTTATTTTTTAAATGATTTTTTTAGAAAAATAATCCGTTATTAATCCGTATTGATTATTAGTAAAGTAATTTTAATTATGTAGTTGCTGCATAAATCATCAAAAATATTATAATGATGACATTTGCGTTGTTTTATTTTAAAGTTTTGCTTTAAAATAAAATTATGCATAATTTATTATACAAACAATTATAATAAATATTAAATGAACATAATTACCATCAAAAGTCCTTTAAAATAATAATTATTTTTATAATATAAATTTTTACACAAATGAGATTGATTTCAATCACTGATTTTCATACTTTTTGTTTAATAAACTAAAAATTGTTTTTAATTTTTATAATAAATGTTTTATTTTGTGAACCAAGCAGCATACTCTGTTGTACGGTTAGTTCTAACATGAAAATTTAATTTCTAGTATTATTTAATATCACAACTATATAATTGTTCAGGATGCAGGATTGATTTCTTTAAATTAAAAAATGACATATTTTCTACGGAATTTCGCTTCCCTCACGGATTCACGTACAAATATTGCATCGCCGAGTGAATCGTCAGATCGTTTATTTCAAGAAACAAGTATTTTTTTGTTTTCATAACTTTTCAAATTTATTAGTGACAAAATTTTGCTTTACTTTATGTTATATTTCGAGTAATCGCATTAAAATTTGCATATTAAAATGCGGAAAGCTTGATTAACTTTGTGCTTACAGTACATTTAATATCAATAAGATGTATGATAATTTGAGATTTTAGAAAATGTTAGACTATAAGCCACAAAATCTTTCTACATATCAAAGTATACCTATTGAAATATTGATTAATAATTATTTTTATGTTATCAAATGAATGATAGCAATTTTTGCAAAATATAATATTATTTATAGATTATGCACATCCTAAACGAACATCATGTCAATATGCGCAACTGCTGAAGTACTGCGCGAAATTACCAGAACATGGATATTCATTAAAGATCCCAACAATCCGAAGAAATTCTCTCTGCAGTTCTACAAATTCTAATTGTAAGTAAAATTTTTTTTACAGATTTGTTGTTCAGTTTATTAAGTGAAATATTTTGTAATACTGTTACAAGTTGGAATTTTTGGAGAAAAATTAATATGAATCATTTTGGTAAGTACGTGATATTATCCTTATCACGTACTTACGACTCATTACTTAACCACGAAATCTTCGTGTAGACAAGGATATTAGATTTTGTGAATGATAAAGCTCCAATTAACTGTTCTTCTTGTTAAAATGTTTGCATGATGATTTTAAACTGTCATCAAGTTTTTGTTGGAAAATTAAGTTAAAATATTTTTAGCCTTTATGTAATCAATGAATAACAAACACTGATGAAACAGAAGAATAATTTTGATATATTTTTTAAATTGGTTGCAATTTATTAATTTTATTCTGTAATTAGATGGATTTTCAACGAGTAAGAACTTGGAAAGTGATTGCCATCGAGTGGTGATCGTAGGTGATAAACAAGAAGGTATTGATGGTGGTGATCAGGATTTTAAGGCTGTCTCAATAGATTTAAGACCCTGTTTAGAGATATTCGCAGCTCCTTCATCTTTCGGCGTAGTCTGTATTGCTAGAACTATCATTTTGAGGTTAAATAATTATTTTTGTAAAAAAAAATTTTTTTAATTATTTTTTTTTGCATTATTTTCAACTTTACAGAATACAAACACTAATTTTCATTTGAGAAAAAGACTAGCCATATGCAAATGTTTAGAATTTTAGGTGAGAAATTATCATTTCACTCATTAAGTACGTGAATATTAATTTTACTATTTGCTGAAGAACAAAACAGGCTAAATATGAATGTATACTTCTAATGTTTGAAATTTAAATACTGGAATGTAATAAAAAATTAATATCTTGTATTTATTATTAATACTTTATTTTATTTCTAATAAGTTTTATCTCTAGATTAAAGCTATTAGTTGTTTAGCTAGTCTCTGACATTAACTAATTAATTGCAGATATGCTCCACTTCTTAAAGTTACTTTATCATCGTATGCGTGTAATAAAATTGATTATCAGAATATTGTAGAAATTGAATGTCAAGAAAATTCTTCGGAAAAAGCAAATGTACGTTTTTTCGCTCTTAATTTTTCCATAATATTACTGTGCAATTCATTGAGTCAATTAGTTACAAATACAAAAGATCAATTTTGATTTTATAAAATCAAAATTAATTTTTTGTTTTTATGAAAGTTTTCGCCCTTTTATTCGAGATTATAAATATTATACATTCATAACATTTATCATATTTTTGTATTTTTTTGTTCTTTTTTTTATTTCTCAATTTTTAATAGAAATTCCAAAGCAATTGTTTTTTTCCCATAAATGTAAGTTAAATTGACGAATATTATTGTTTACTTCGTCAGTTATTTGAATTCAAATTAAGAACACAAGCAAAGTTGAATAAAAATGGATCAAACTTAAATTAATATAAGAAAGTATAAAAAGTGCATTCATGTAAAATTAATTTCAGTTAATTTTTACTTTTTCAGAATGACAAAAATGGAAATGAAATTGTGCTGATGGGATTAAAATGTGTCTTTTCTGTCTTATACGAACTGAATAAACGTGATTCAGAGCTTTGTATAGAAGCACTAACCTCTCTTCTACAATTACTCGAACATATTCCGATGGATTCTTTACGTAATGAAACGTATTGCTCAGTACAAAGCATGTACAATATGTTACGTAAATTAAGGATGGAAGGTTTGTTGTTTATTTTGTTTTCAAATATTGAAGTCGATATAATGATTTTAACATTTTTTTAAATAAAAATCTATCTCAAAAGTATTTTGGTTAGAAAATCCAAAAATTTGCATTTTTTATCTGAGTATGTGCCATTTTTCTTCGTAGAGCTTTTATCAGATGAAGTCAGTAGGTTTTAAAATTAATTTATTTTACATGAATTATTTTACTTTTATATTTGTAATAGCTTTTTGTACTAATTGCATTTGTTAAGTTATAATTTCATTTATTGAGTTATTACTATTTTATAACTTTTACTAGATAACTTTTGAACTTCTCATTGTTCTTATTATTAGGCTAGAAAATTTAAAAATATTTTCATAAATTTTCAGGCAGTGCAGAAGTATCAGCAAAATCGACATCATGTATGATTGCGTTGATTGTTGCACATGGTTGTTCAGAATTCATCCTTTCAACAGTAGCTACTTTATTGTGTGATAAACCTGAAAACTTATCAGATTGTGAAGCTTTATTGGTTGAGATACCAAAAAATTATCAAAAATTAGCGAACATAGTGCAGCAGATTTTACTTCGAAATAGTGATGAACCAGGATGGTAATTTAACAATTCATTATTAATTTTAATTTAAATCTATCATTTAATTTAGGTTTCGAGATATGTCGTCAAATTCTTTCCAAGTACACAGAGCAAAGTTTATTTCAAAAAAACCGGGAGCTAATGTTTAAAAATAATCAAGATTATAAATGTTCCTCTTATTATTGGTTTAAAATTTGGATATATGTGAAAAATTTTATGTTAAGTAGAAAAGCTTGCAGTATATTTTTTAGACATGTTTTGAAGTATTTTTTACAAAAATTTTTGTGAAATTGAAAATTTAGATAAATATTTTCATAGTGCTGGTAATTGGTGGTCTCACTGCTTAACAGAACACACAATATTATCGTCAATCGACATACATGTGCCTGATGGCATTCTTCCAGATACCCCTGACGATCGACGTCTTACTGGAGCCATTGCTTCTGACGGTATGGTAGTGAATTTTTGGTTATAAAAATTGAAAGCTTGAATCAGAATTCCTTTAATTTGGTAAATAGTGGATATATGACTAAAAATAATAGACGATGAAAGTTGCTCTTGCATTGTAATTATATTTAGGGTACTATATTTGGAGCTTTTTGGATTTATATTTTAAGTCAATAAGTAGTTTCTGAATTTTATTCATGCATAAAGTTTACATATAAACGCCTATTTCTAAAGATTAATTTCCTTTAAAAACGATTTATATTATTATTTTTTGAGTTCATTTATATCAAGATAAGATTTATCACTGTATATCAGTTAGTGATCAATCTTATCATATGATGCGTTAGAACTTACATTCTTGATAATTGTCGTAATGAATTCTTTGAAAACTTTTAAAAACTCAAGTTATGGTTTGCCTTTAAGGGAAATATGTATATGTCCTTACGTGTTACGGTTTATTTAAATATGGCACAGGTTTAGCAGAAACAATTGAAGGTAAACTGTATGCTTTTAATCCTGAACTAAAAGCAAAGTAAGTATTTTATTTCTTATATAGTGATGCTAAAATTTTTATGATTTTTTCAGCTTATATATTTATGCAATTTTAGCATCATAAAGTAAACTAGGATCACTTTGCTTTGCCATTTGTTATATCTTTATGCTTACTAAAAATGCTATCTTAATTTTCTAATCAAAAATATTTTGTGGTATTCAATCTTTCAGCAAAGATTCATGGTTAGCTGTTTGTAGCGGTGCATTATACCTCCGTAGGCATCATTCATCTCGCTTATGTGTTATTGATATTGATACTCTTCATGAAATTGGTGAAATTGTATTAGAAACACGTGTTACTACGGGTATGGAATTGTGTATGCTTACAAAAAATAATTTAACTACTGTTTTTATTAGGTTCAAAATTATTTTGGGATAGAAATAATTTGTTAAGAAAATTTGGCACCGATTCACAATGATTAAAATTTGCATTTTACTATTATGCCTCTATGTTATTTCGATATTCATTTCTTTTAGTTTACATATGCAGTTTGGTCAGTTTGGTGAGAATTTAAAATGACTGATACTGTTTTTCATTTCAATAATTTAGGTACCATTCTAACTGATGGCACTGTTTTTTATCAAGCAAATATTGATGTAAAATGGAATTTACAGGTGAATTTCTTACTACCGGTCTTGAAGATATTTGCCTAATATCAATATTAATTAGATTTAATTATTAAAAAATTACCACTAATAGTATCAATATTCAAACATTTAGATCATTCCACTGGATGATTCATTCACACCAATTCCGAATATTGATCAGCATCAGAAATTCCGACTCGTAGATCTCAATTATAACGCTTTTGGTGATGTATATCCTATACCGCATAAATTACCGTTGATTCTTCCGAAGTCATTACAAGGTTGATCTTTATCTCAGAAAGAACTTTACTATTACTTAATCCTTTGTATAACAGGCTTTAGTTAACAGAGTAATACATAAGCCTGTTATGCATATTATGATTAAATAATGCAGTTATAAAATACTGTATAGTAATAGTCAGTAAGAATAGTATATGTTATATAATTGAACTACTAATCTGACTGCTTCGGAATTTTACTTCTTTCTATTTCTGAACATTTGAATTTATGCACAAGAATTCACAGCTCATTTCTTGTGTCAGCTCAAGCATACGATCTCCAGATGGGTAGAGAGGTGGCATTACTACTTGCAAAAAACGGGAAAGTATATTATGCTGGTGATGGTACTCGTTTGGGGTTGAAAGTAAGCATTGTATAATTTTTTTATAAATCTTTCAAATCATTTATTTGTACTGTGTTTTTTGAAATTTTGTTTCATGAAGTTTTATTTTCTGCTATTGTAAAAAAAAATAGACTTTACAAATCAGAACAAATTCAACAATTATTTTGTTGTAAAGATTGAATTTATCAGGATGCTGGACAGAATTGGATGAAACTCATTCTACCCGAACCAATTCTTTCAATAGTAGTTAGTTGTGATGCAGACACAGTTGTACTTCGTTCTGGATCTGGACGTTTATGGATTGCTGGTTTGGGTTATGAAGGCATTGCTCAAAATAGTCCAGCTGTTGGTCGTTTTCAAAAACAAACAGTGAACTCAGAAACTCTTAAGCTAAGAAATTTTCAGATTTCAAGCAGGTAAAAGGCAGTTTATAATTATAGCAAAAATAAAGGTTATTTTTTGAATAGGTAAAATAGTAATTTTTATAGAAATTAATAATTTTTTCATTTATTTTAGTCTAAAAATGATTACTTTCCTTGACAGAAACTAAAAGTAGTTTTTTTCGACTGCTTTTTGATTACTGTATTTTTTTTTTGCAGGCGACGTTGTATATCAGTTGCGATATCAGCCGGATGCATAGCATTTGTAACAGATGCTGGTAAAGCATATATTTTTGGTCGACATGCGATGCAATGTCATCCAGAGACAGGATATATCTATGGTTTGGAAAATGTCCAGCTAACATCTATAGCTTTAGGCAAAACTCATGCCGCTGCGATTACACGTCAAGGATATTTGTACACTTGGGGTCTTAACAATCTTAATCAGTGTGGAAGGATAGAGGTTATTGTTTTGGCAATCATTTTTTTTTGAAATTAGGAAATGAATCGAAATGTACATTTGAGGCGTTATTATACAGAAATTTGTTTAATTAATGTATTGTCAAAGACCTGAAGTTGATAAATATTGAATCTAATGATTTGAAATATTACTATGACATGGTGATAATTCTGAATTTGAAAAAATTTTCGTTGATAATTTCTATTTATGAAATCAAATATTTGTGCTACAATTCACGAAAAAAGAATAAAGTATTACTGAAAATATGAAAAAGTTTGACGTGAAAATTGCGAAGCAGTTTGAATATGAAAGTGAAAAAAAATTTTTATAAAGCATTTCATTTTATCTAACCAATGTGAAACCATTGTCAGGCAGAAACTGACGATGCTGGAGGTGAACATTCGAGAAATCCTAGTGAAACTGAACAAAGTTCTTCATACTGCCTTCGTGATGAACATCTTTGGGTTAAAGATTTTGCATCAATTTGTATCAAATGTGGCAAATGTTCGGCGTGTAAAAATCGGTAATTTTTGAAAAGATATCTTTTGAAAGGCTAAATTTAGTTCTGAAAAATTCATGCAAAATTAGCCATTATAGATGCGCACCCATGAAGATGGGTTATAGTACTACAAAAGGAATGCAATGTATATGCGGAGAAGGTGAAACATGTTGTCTAAGGTGAGAAGCAGTCTCTTTCTGGAATCAGTATTCACTAATATTGAATAAAAAAATAATTACTTATACTGATGCAAATAACTTTCAAGTATTTCGTGCTTAATAAAATAATAATCATTATTTAATTAGAAATTTCACATTTTTTATTAGACAATGCTGAATATTACATTGTGCACTAATTATGAACTTTTACAGTAAATATGGAAAAAAGATCCATCAGATTCATAATTTTGGTTTCTGTACGAAGAGAGGATCTTTTTTCACAATTTTTTATTAGATAGAAGACTTTTTTTTCACAATTTTTTTACACGCTAAAAAAGTTTTGGCAATTTTTACTGAGACAAAAAAAGCTTTTTACAGTCTTTTTACAAGATTACAAAAGTTTTTTTGCTATTTTCACAAGACAAAAGAGTGTTTTACTATTTTTAACGCTAGAAAGTAAGCTTTTAAAATAAAAGTTTTTACAATTTTTTTACAAAATAAACCATGTTAGACATCCTTTGTAAATGTAATTAATAAATATTTTTACGTATTATAAAACGTATTATAAAGCTTCTTAATAATATTGTAGTAAATAAAAGCTAATTTCACTTCAGATGCGGTTTATGTCGTGCATGCGGAGAATGTACAAGTGACGTAGTTGACCATAATTCACGAAGTATACGTTCGAGAGCAACTCTGTCTCCATCTCGTTTAGTTCTTCCCAAGAGCGTATCAGATATTAAATTAAGTATCAAACAGTATATATGAATTTTTTTATAAACGCTTATTTTGTTTTTCAAACTTTTATGCGTATATATTGACTTACGTTAAACTATGCTAGACATTTTTTGTAAACATAATTAATAAATGTTTTTTTATTAAATATATTTACAAGAGATTACTTTATGTGAAACAGTATAGAGAAGTTAGATATTATTGAGCGTAATAACGTACTAAATGAGACAATATATCGGCCCGTATCTGTAACAGAGTTTTTGATATACATTAAATGGCTGCAATAAATATAGCTGGAGCTTATTTAATACAATTTAGGTCCGAGTTTTCAATTAGAAATGACTTCTGAAAGGAACAGTAAATTGAGAATATTACTTTTAGCCCGGAACTTTCAGAAACTCATAATATGTAAGCAGGTATTGTTTTTTATTTTTAGGTTTCATTTGTGTGCTGTGGTAATTATCATACTGTTGTATTAACAACTGATCATCAAGTTTTCACATTTGGTTCAAATTGTCATGGGCAGCTAGGCGTTGGTCACGTAAAAAAATGTACCGGTCCTCATAAAGTTAGTACTATTCCTACTGTTGATATAATTTTAGATCAGCTTTTTACGGTGAAAGTAATTACTTTGTTTTATAGCTTTTTAATACTCAGTACTTGATAATTTTTAGTTTGTACTAAATCCAAAAAAGTTGAATTTGCGTTAAATTTCATCAGTCAGTTCTAAATAAGAACGATGGATAAAGGCATTGGATAAAGGCATTACTTTGTTCCAATGAACGCATTGGATTTTTTTAAAAGATATATATTGAGTACTAATTTTCGATACATTAATTTTTTCAGAAGAACTACTTTGGATATGAGATTTTTTATAATAAAAATTTCCTTGTGATGTATATAACAAGACCATTTAGTACCTTTTTGATAATAAATCATATTTTTTTAGGTGGATCTACCAAAGAAAGTGCTCGTCATTCAAATTGCTGCAGGTTCAAATCATACAGTGCTAAGGACATCTGATGGATCTATTATTACATTTGGTGCCCATAGACATGGTCAACTTATTAGGTTACTAGAACTTTTTGATGAAAAGCGTGTTTTAAAATCTAGATTCCATAGTGAAATGAATATTGTATGAATTATTCAGGGAAGATAAGGAGAAAAACTGGTTTGCAATGCCATCATTTGTACCAGGATACGGTCATGGCAATAGTACAGTAGCTACTTGGATTGGTGCTTCTGGTGATACAACTCTAATTCGCAGTGAAACTCGCATTTACAGCGCTGATATTATTTCAAATTGTCAAGTGAACCTTTTTGTATTTGAATTGTGTTTCATCTATTTTGTTGATATTATATCAGTATTTCACACCAGTGGATTTCCTTATTAACTGTAATTATTTGGTATACAAAAAACTGTAATTAAATTGAAGTGTAATTGAATGGTATTTGGATACAGATAGGAATTCATATTATTTCATATTCAAAAGTAATAGTACAACAATTTCCTCGCAGTATATATTGCTTTCAGATAATCGCAAATAGTGAAATTATTGCAATTTTTCCAAATCAAATTGGCATGAATTATATGGTTATACGTCGTAACTTCAGTACTTTCCATCAGTATTCGCTTGGAACTGAAGGTCTCTATACGAAGTATGAAAGACTTGTTTAATCTTTTCGCTATTTTCTATAGATTTGATTTATATGATATCCATATATGCTCGGTTAAGATACTTATTCTAGCCTGTCTTCTGTATTATTATTTTGCTTCATATTTCTAAATCATACCTTACTAGGAAAGTAATTTATTGTAATAATTTTTCAGTTGGTGCTTGGAAGCAAAATATGATTTACTTTGGGCTTTCAATGCTGCTGAAATGCGAATCAAATCAATTACTAGTTGTGTTCCAATTTGTAATTGCAAAACAAAAACAGATATTAGTACCGCAAAAAGTTTGGAAGGGATTACTGGAGAAGTTAAATTTCTACGAACACCTGAATTCATGATTCCAACTAACAAAAACAGTTCAACCATCAATCAGATAGCATTAAACCTTCTTGGAACAACGTATATTACTACGATTTTGGAAAGTAAACGATCATTTGCTGAAAAAGTCAGTTTACTCAAATCATAAAGTAGGCATTAGTTTTCTTCAGATAACCAAACATCCGCGATTATCAGCATTACTGATCACTAAAGTTGGAGAATACAATTTTTTGCCAAATAAGAGTGGATGAGGTTGAATAAATAGTATGATACTGCATTAAGTATTGTATTGTACATTTTATTAAGTTTTGCTTTCAAAACCACAAACCACTCCTGTTCGACAACTTCTCAAAATCTAGATTGATCAGAAAGATTTTGATTCGGATGGTAAAACTGGCAGACGAACTTTGGCTAGTGGTTATCAACGTATTCATCGATTTAATGGATATGGTGGTGGTTGGGGATATTCAGCTCATTCCGTGGAAGCTATTCAATTCCGTACATCGCGTGATATACGCCTTTATGGTGTAGGATTGTATGGAGGACGAGGAGATTGCATCGCAAAGTGTGGCATCCAATATTCATTTTTTTAACATCATAATAAATTGTTATAATTGTTGTTAGTAAGACAATTTTTAACATAAAGATTCAAATTTTATGACACCTTTGAAGATATTTTTTGTTTTTCATGAACAGTGGTAATTTATACCATGTTTCACGAATTACCATTTTTCCTGACTCCTTACTGTATTTATAAGTACTCTGTGAAATACTGCAAATCAAAGAAATGCGAAAGCAGTTTAAGCAGGAAAATTAATATTGCAAAAAAAGGAACTTAATGGGTTGAAATTCAAGCTAGTATGTAAAAGTAAAGCAATACAGGTTGGTATTATGAAAATTTCAATATTACTTTTCAGATTAAAATTGTATCGTCTCTTGCCTCCTGATTATGATGAACAAAATGTTGAATTAATTAATGAATCAAATGAAATGCTTTACAACTGCAGTCCTCATGAAAATGCACAGTTATTATTTAAGCGATCTATTGTAATCAGGGCTAATTTATGGCATGTTGTTTGTGCACAAATCAGGTATGTTTTTGAAGAAGGTAAATGTTTATAGATAAATATTGTACATAACATTTTGATTAATAAGACAGTAAATCTAATTTTTTCGAATTCGCCTGACATATGAAATGAACTTTTGCGGATATTTTTAAAATTATAAAGCATATTTCAATAATACAAAAGCTTTTAAAATTACTTAGCCAGTAAAAACGTTATTTTTGCAACTGGAAATAAAAAACTTCCTTGCATCATAAAAAGAATGCTTTTTTCAAAGTTCTGGTTTTTTATTATATATATTTTTCATACTTTTAGCGGTGCAAGTTCTGACTGTGGGGCTAATGGACAACCCGATGTCGCTGGTGATGATGGTGTTCAATTTTATTTTCGTAATTCTCGAATGTCTAATAATGGTACGGATATCAACGTTGGTCAGATTCCAGAATTTTTTTATACAGCTGAAGCATCAGATGAGCAGCAGTCGAATCAAGAAACAAATGATAAAACAGAAGATGTGTAAGTTTTTCTAAGATAACTTATAATAGTAAACAAAATGAATTATTTTCTGAAACTGCTGAATGATTTTTCAGTAGTATTTATAGTGGTGATCACTTTATGAAAGTATAGTTAAATGTATAACTACTGTCTGGTTTTATTTTCTAGCATGACATGTTTGACACAGAGTGTTGCAAAAATGGCTTGACTTAATTTTTCTTACTGTAGCATGCCTCAAAAGTTTCTTGTTTAACGATGAAACATGGTACCTTCAAATAACTTATCTCAAAGTTACGATTTTTTATTGGAATGGCCGAAATGATCTATTTGGTTAATGTAGTTGATATAAGAATTGCGAATTTCGTTTCAAAATATACTGTAGTTAGTGAAGATTAATTTGTAATAGTTACGTAATTATTGTACATCTGTTGGTTTAGGTCTGATGATAGTACATCGTACACTGTGAATACGCAGAATCTGTTGACCGTTTCAACCGGAACTATCGATTCATTGTTTTGCTTACTAGATTGGTCTGTTTTGAAATATCTAGAAATTGGTGAAAAGTTTTGCAGTGATGTGTCATGGCTCAAAGAACGTTATGTAATTATTGTGATATTGACTTTAAGATTTTTGCGGTAAGTTTATATCTGCAACGTTTCAGTTAAATTTAAAATCATCATAATTAAATTTGAGAAACATGACAAAATTATGAATTATGTAAAAACTATGATTTTGCTCAAAGGGGAAGTAATTCGTAGATCGTACTTGAATAGATGACACTTTTTGAAAGTAAAAAATAGTCTTATAATCTCATAAATTGAGCATTTTGTGATATAAAAATTTCAGAAGAATAAATTAGAATATTACTGTTGTTTGGATATGTTACAAATTTCAGATTTTACGTATGCTCTCTTTATTTGCCATCAAGTAGAGAAAAAAGTGCGGACAGAAAAGAACCATCATGTAGTATTGCTAAACAAATGATACAGTTTTCATCGATAATTGCTTCAGTATTTGAAATGTTCAATAATTATCGTCCTGCTTCAGAAGATGTAAGTATTTTTTTTGTGCAAAATAAATTTGTTTCTTTTCGTTGTAATCTTATTGAAAATCTTAGAGAAAATTTTACAAAGATTAAGTCTTGATGTTAATTTGTGATTTCGGTTTCCCAGTAATCTAATTACAATAATTGAGAGCAGTGATTTTTGATAATAGTGGAATTCAATGGTGTGTTTCATCTTGTCAATAACATTAAACTTATGAAGTTCATAAACTCATGCTCATTATGACTATCATGAATATGCGCTTGCACATATTGTCATATGCAACTTTTTGATAAGCGTTTTCACTGAAACTGTTTTCTAGCAATCCAAAATTTTACCATAACAAATGATAATTTTCAGGATTCAGCGCATCTGATACTGCTCGAAGAAGCAGTTACTACTGTAGTACATTGTTCACATGTTTTATATTGTAATACAGCAATTTTCCTCGATCAGCTTGCTTTTTTTATGTCAACTCCAAATCGTGAATGGTCATTAGTTGCAGTACTTAATGCGCTTGCCAAACAAGAATATGTAAAAAATTTTGTCTAACCATCAAAATAATTTATTGAAATCCTAAATATTTCTTTCACTAATTGTGGTCATTGTTACGTCATCTAGTCATTTATGTTATCGAAATTCTGAATATATAACACAGTTGAAATATTGACAATGTCAATTTAAAATGGTTAGTAAAATTATCTTGATTAAAAAAATGACCATAATGACTATTAGAAAAGATATCTTGTGTAATGATTAGGGTTATCAAAAAAATCACTGTAGGTATTTATTTTGCTTGTATAGCACATTAAAAAAATAATTTGAGCATTTTGTAAGAGCTTCTTTCTTACCATTCCAAATAATAGTTTATTTATGTGTAAACAAGTAACTGCTAACATTTCTTTCTATTTTGTTTCAGTTATTTGAATTAGAAAGTAAAGCATTCAGGTCCTTCCGATATTGTTGGGTTCTGGACCTCATCCATCACATTTCCCGGTGTTATTTCTGAAAATGAATGAGCAGTTAGGAAATAAAAAGATATCTTCTTCAAATCAACAGCGGATTGTGTCATTACCAAATATTCTGCGATTCTTGTTTGAAATAGCTTTCACATCACCGCGGATGATTCAAGTTCAATTTTAATCTATTCTTAATTTTTTGTGCTGCTTTATTTGTCATTTAGATTTATTGCAATTTGCATTTTATAGTTTCATTTGGAAACTCAGTTTATTATTTCCCAAATTTCAAATTATTCTCGTCTATGATTTTAAAGCATTATTTCATAAGATATAATTCTGATTTTAATGAACCTCATACAATATTCTTGGAATATATATTGGTATCAGGCAATCATATAACTTTTTACAATACAAAAATTTTTTGAGAACGAAAGTCGAATACGACTGAAAACCGCAGCACATTCTCTAATAATTGCAATAGCTCGAGAATTAGTATCTCCAAAAGATACCACTGATAGTGGGCCGCCGATTTTGCAGACACCAAATAGGTTATTACTTTTAAATCTCCAAGTCACGAAAGTAAGTATTTAATCAAAGCGAATCGATCTACATACATTCAAGGCATATGATTCCAATTATATTATATTGGAACCCGTTGAAATAGTAATTTGATTAGAAAGACTATTATCATGCAAACTGCAACTTGAATTGAGGAAAAATAAATCTACGTCATGACTTCTATTATAAATGTGTAAAATTTAAAGTACATTTGAAATTTTGAGTTAAATGCAAGCGTAGTAGTAACAATATCAGCAATCATTTACGTTTTCGGTTTCGAAAAACTTCAAATCATGCAAGCTGGGATGTAAGTAGCGATGCAAGTGATGCAATAGCGCTACGTGTTGATGTTACTGGTATTACATTACACGGAGTTGGCGTGTATTGCTCTCATCATGATCAAGAATTAAGTTACGTTTGTGAGGTAATTTTAAAACTTTTAATCTTGATGATGCCGGAAATAAGTAACTGAAGATTTCGACAAGAATTAGTTCCCCATTGAAAAGTTATTAAAAGAGATAGTTTCAGGTACTCTTAAATTGTGGTGATGCAGCTCATGAACAGTGGAATGTATTAGAGAAAGTTGTTGGTACATTTGCGAACAAATTTGAGCCTTCTCAACGAGAAATTGTTATGCTACGTTTAACGAAAACTATCAAACTACAACCTAGCTATATTTATGCTATTCGGTTGCATATTAATGGTGGCAAGACATTTTGTGGTGAAGGTTCGATTGCATTTAATCGAACATCATAGTTAATCTCGGATCTGTTCTAGATTTTTCCCTCCTGAAAGAACTTTTGCTGTTTATGCGTGGGGCATAAATTTGTACAAATGTGATTATAAACTGAGAAAATTAGCAGTAATTTAAAAATAAACTTTTACGTTAATTTGTTGTTGAAAGTTTTATATCAGTTCAAAATATGACGAGCCATCTTCTCTATCTTTCTTCTTGATTGCAAAATATATTTTATGAGCAAAATTAATGTTGAAAAATACTAATTAGTTAAATCAGTGCATGTAGGTTAATTCAAAAAATTCTTGTAGGTGGCATGGGTACTGTTCGGCTATGTAATGGGAGTCGAATACAATTTGAACCATGTACTTTAAGCTTAAATGGTACTTCTGTATCCCGTGGTCAAATCCCATTCTTATTGTACTCGATTCAAGATGATAAAAAAAGTCTTGTTCAAAGACTAGCCAGTCCAGATCAGGTTTTATTTTTTCATTTTTAATAGATTCATCTTATAATGAGCAGTTTTTTTGATTAACAGAAATTTAACAAAAGTAAAAGTTGTGTATACCATAACTGTTTCGCATCTATTATATTTGAGTGCGAATTTCAAAAATTGCGTAATCTTAATATCAAATTCAGAATATAAAATTGGTAACTGACGAATAGAAGAAGATTAAGTAATGTAATGATGAAGTACTATTTGCTTTCAATATTCGGTATTCCATTAGATAATTACAGAAGGGGGATTTAACTTCAAGAGAAATTTTTCCGTTGGTGATATGGCAATTTAAAAAATTTTTTTGAATGATATACAAAAAAGTTACCATTCTTTTTGTAAAAGATCTATATTTTTACAAGACATACAGTTCGTTGCAGTTAACTTTTTTGCTTTTTAGTTGAATAATTGGTTTGTATTATTAGTTCGAATGTTGTCTCACAAAATAACTGATTTAATAGCTGCTGGAAATTTTTCATCTCACGATCAATCCCTTTTTTCAAGTATTGCAGGTAAATAATTCTGAACTTAGTTTACTAGAAACATAACTAATTGACAATTTAATCGGCTTTCAATTTGCTTAATAAATTATGATAAACTGATCTTTTATGAGGATTGTCAAATACTGGTGTACTATTTAATATAAATTGCATATTGCATATTTTTAATATGAAGTCTGAAATTCTCAAATGGCGCATAATTTTCCAATAACTTAAGGTTTTATTATGGTTTTTTTGGAATTGAATCCCCATTCTGCGTTAGATGTTGTCGGTATATTAGATGACTTGATCCCAATGGTTTCATCTATAAATGGAGGAAGAAGAGCAGAGGAACGACAGCGTGCAATTACGAGGTTTATTCATACATTTATAATGTAAATTTGATTTTTCCGATTTCAAAAGTTTACATTTTAGAAGTTATGAAGTTAGCAGAATTGACAAAATTTAACTCAAAATATTTTATCGATATTATAATAATAAATTATTTTTAGGTCTGCACAACAAATCACTGGAAAATTGGGTTTACAGACAGTTATAGAATCACCACATCCATATCCACCTTGTGTGATTAATTCTCAGGTACTGTTGCTTGCATTTAATTCATTAACTGATGATATCAAGTATAATTTATTTATCACTTGAATTAAATATACTTACAAATTTTTTAAATACTTTACTGTAATATTTTCATTATAAGATTTTTTCATCGCAAGAAATTTCCTATATCTTTAAGACTATTCTAATATGAACTCATTTCCTTGAGTGTTATTGCCATAAATAATTAGTAATTGTATTAATCGAAGTATAGCTGCGCATTTACTTAGCATATTTATTGTCGAACACAATCCATCGTATTAATAGATTTTCAAATGATAATAAGATAGAGTCACATTTAAATAATTTCACTCATTCATTATTACTCCAGAACGGATTCATTACAGTCTATCAGTCAGTTAATATGCTCACTGCTGCACTCTGTTTGCATATTTATGTCAAATATGAATTTTTGATTAGTAATTAAAATTTAATTCAAATACAAATATTTTTTATATTTTTTTTAAAAAGGTTATAACAATTTACTAGTGTAATATAATTTTATTATAACAAATTTTAAAGGTTGTCGATTTCGGCAAAAATGTGCAGTTTATGACAGTCCGATTTAACGAAGAATGTTGTACAGGGCAAGCGGATGATATTTTATGGGTTTATGCAAAAGTTGATGATGCTTGTCATATACCAATTGGCAGGTTATTTTTTTTCTATTTATTGCTATCAATTCGAAAAATAATTTTTATTGCAAAAATCCCTAAGTGAGAATTACTGAGTACTCTTTTGTGACATTTTCATTCCGTTTATTCATGTTTATATATCATTTTCACTTTTATTTTATATCGATGTAAAGATCTCCTAAAATAGAGAGAAAACACATGCACGTTTCGTGAAATGTGGGATTTTCCAGATATTATGGTGATCGTAACTGGCCTGATCGTATGCTTTTGGTTCCGGGAAACAGTTTGTGGTTCGTACTTGAATCAGTATCATATCCTGCAGATAAAACTAGTGATCAGGTTATTTGTATTTAGTATTTTTAAATTTTTTGACTCCGAAAATCAGCATCTTTACACTTCACTCCTAACTGTGATATCCTGAAAATTATTTTGAAATTTAAATGTTCAGTAAGATTCTTCAGATTTATGGCTATCGCTGTACTGTTACCGGATACCGATATTCAGAAAACGATTGTTCTATGGCTTTGGAAGAGGAATTAACATGGATTTGTGCCAGTGCTTGTAGATTGATTGTTCAGGTATGCATTAATGTAACAAAGAAAATAGTCTACCGCAACTTATAAAAAATCATTTGACCATGTAACTGACAGATTGACTAAAAAATGGATAAGTTTACAGAAATATAAAATTTTTGAGTTTCAATTATTTAATAGAAAAAAAATGGAAAATGGATAAGTTTTACTTTACTTCTAGATTCCACCAGACAAGAGTGTAGTAACAGCGGTTACGATGGTTGAACATGAAATCAACGATATTGTTCAGAAGCACGGTGCTCTACTTCGAAAAGGGTTGAATCTTTCACATATTCCAACAGTCAATGAAGTTTTGAAAAGAAGCTTACCAAGTCCTTCACCGACTTCAGGTAATATAGAAATTACAACTTAGATTATTTGTCAATAATTTTTAATCACAATTAGCGCAACAAAACTGTCTTTTGTACCTTGTTGTAGTATAGAATAAATTCATTCTTGAAAAACGAAGAAGTTTGTTTCCATTTTAATTTAAACATTTTTAAGATCTGAAATTCTTGAAAGAATTCATAGCCGCCTGTTCGAACACTGTTGCTGGATTTTGGGCTCGTTGGTTGATAGATGAGTCATTTGTGGACTTGCATTCTAGTCAGCTCCAGATATCAAATGAACAGACAAGATTAAGAATTCCTACTAAGGTTTGTTATTTTTTAGATGCAGTTTTGCTTGTGAATTTAAAACTCTGTTGTAAGTTTTATCTTGTTGTTGGAATTTAATTAATTTCCAGCTTATCGATATAAAAAAACAAGATAAAGAGATCATGAATCGTTTACTAAATATGTTAGATAATTTTTGCCAATATCGTTGTAAATACTTCAACTATTGTCACTGTTATATTCTTAAAGACAAAATTATTGCAGTCTTCAAAAGATTAACGCATCTTGACTTTCAGATAAAGCTTATTCCTCAAGACCAATACGGCCGCCTTGCTATATGTTCTGTTATGAAAGTTGAAATCATAGTATATTCTGGCACAACACTGGAAAGTAATACTTCGAATATCTGCTTTCCAACAGATCATAAACGGTCTTCTGAAAGTCTTCCTTCTCCCCATCTGATAAAGGTTAAATTATTTTTGAAGCATTCTTTCTTGATCATAAAACAAAGCATTTATTGTTTTCAGTTTCATGTTTTGTTGAACTTTGAAATTCAAGCAAAAATTGTTTTTCCAGCAGGAAACTATTTAAAGGCATTATCAAGTTGTATTTTAAGGCGCTATTTTGTCGAATTTATTCTTCACCAGTAAATTTTTTAGGAACCGTATCATCCTGTTTATTTTAATAAAACGCGCTATGTTTCGATCACAGCAATGACTGCATATCAGAATTACTCATTTGAAGAATTACGTCTTGCGTGTTATAAAGATGCGCTAATGAAGGAGCAACTTAATGCCGTGCAGCAGCCTGACGGCAGGTTTGTTCATTTTTCTTATTTTTGTTTATTATTAGAAATTGTTTAAAAAATTTGAATTTTGTTGGTTAAAATTAAATCTTTTGTTAATTCGTATAGTATCAAATTATTCATCGCACAGGGAATTTCAAAATTAGTTTTGATAATTTCATTAGACTTTTTGCAAACACATGATAGTCTTTAATTGTCTTAATAGTCTTTTAAATTTTTTTGGTAGTGACATAAGATATTTATTAAGCTGGTTGGCTACATGGGTACCAAAATTTGGCGGTACATATCGAGTTGAATGTCGATTAGATGGATTTCAAATCGCGCAAAGTTCCTTGATTGAGGTAGTTTGACTTACTGCAAGATGCAATAAATGGCTATCTCAAATTATTAGCTGAATTTTGGTTTTCGTAATTTCTTGATAGTCTTATTGTATAATTCACAGTTTTATTGTATAATTTTGATAATTAATTTTGTAATTTCGTCGTTTGTCACAGGTTCGGGACATTGATTCTCCATTTAATACTTCAATATTGCTAGAAGATAAAAGTCAGTGCCGTTTTATTCACCGAAATGTGGCGCATTTCAACAAGTTTGTGGATAATTTTGAACTACAAAATGAACAAAGCTCATTTTTCACAAATTTGAAATTAAATAATGTTGCATTATTACGTTTTCTATAATCAATGGAAATTTTGTTGAAACCTAACATGAATTAATTGCTTATTAAGTTTATTTGCAGAAAGCGTTTTGCCTTCTGTGATCCAAAACTTATGGTGAAGGGTATACGAATTCGTGCTTCGCCATCACTGCATTCAGCACAAATTGGTATTATACCACGTGGTGCTACAGTTTCATACATTGAGGAAGTTGAAAATGTTGATGGTGTATGGTTGCGACTTACTGATGAGGCATGCATGATGCATTGTAATACACAGTTATTTTCTCAGGTTATAGAATCTATACTTTTCAGTGTTTTTATTTAAATTAACAAATTACAACGGTTTATGATGTATTACGAAAAAGCTCTCTTGATTTTTTGCAACCTTTTTTCAATTACATGGATTTAGCTCAATCTATAACTTTATTACTTCGTACATTATGAAAAACTATCCTTTCGCTGATTTAATGTGAAATATCCAAAAAGTGAAGCTGGAAAAGTTATTTAATAGAATCAATTAGTTAAAGAATAGTATGTAGCGTACCATTTTTTTATATAGTCTTATTAAGTTATTTGTCTTGAAAAATCTAGAGAGCATAATTTTGACCTTATGCGCCATTAATTTTCAGGCTTGGTGCCTACAGTATAGCAATCATCTGAAGCGACTTTTTTTACTACTATATTCAAATTCTCAAGAAACTTCTCTACCTGATCATGGTTTACAGAGCGCTACTATAGAAATGTCTCAAAATATCCTGTCATCTGATGAGCAATATCTGGAACAGTCCCTACAACTTGATATTGAAGAGGTTAGCTTTATTTGAATAATTAAAAACGATGTTTCTTTTTTCAGTAATTGAAAATTTTTTGTTATAACTCAAAATATGAAATCTGATATATCCCGATTACTTCAAGAACTCTAACACTCATTTTAAATATGTGTGTTAGAGTTTTTGAAGGTTCAATGATCTTGAATGATCAAATTGTGAGATAAGAATAATCAGTTGATGTAACGATATTGATCTTATGTACCTGTTTTTATATTATGATCTGGAAAGTTTCTCGCATGAACTTGAGATCATAATGAACATTATGTCATGTTTTTTCAATTTATTTAAATGTAATATCATCTTGTTATTTCTATATCGTGTTTTAGATATACGCAGTGTGCGGAACTCTTCCTGTGTACATTTACAATTATCCATCATTAGATGCTATTTCTGATGAAGTAATCAATGATGTTGATAGTAGTAAGCTAAACTCATCTGGTTGGCTTCATAATAAAGAAGGAATATGGATAAAGTTATCTGGTTCAGATGAAAAATATGCACTTGTGCAAGTAAAACTTCTCTTTAATTTCGTTGATTTCAACGACTAGTGATTTTTTTTGCTACTATTGTATTTTCTTAATTTGAAGATTGCCTTTTTTAATCTAAATTCTGACCGTTCGAGTTTATTAAATTTCTATTTGAAATATTACTATGGTGAATTTTTAAATGTACTCGGAAATTTCAATTCATAACTATGTTAAAGGATTCGAAGGGTAGTCGATATTTGCAAAAAGTAGCTGGCATGAAGCAACGTTTCACTGATAATGGTAATGGTGAAGAAAGATTATCAATTGTACAAAAACCTATAGCCCAAATTTTGCCGCGAACAAGGTTTGTTCAAATCGAAATTTTTAATCTTATTAATTTCAGATTTAAATCTATTTCAAGTATATGTATTTCATTGTCATTAATCATTTGATACAAAACTTTTAAATTCACCAGTAATTTTCATGCATAAAAGAACTATAAATAGCTTTAAATGTCGAGATATTTGTTTACATTGTGATATTTTTCGTGATATTTACATACATGTGTGAATTTGTCAACTAATTGCAGAAATGAACAACCATTGCAAGCATTAAGACCTTCTATTGTTGATTGCTGCCGAACTGTCTTTGCTGCTTTTTTATGGCATGAAAGATTAGTAAAAGATGCGATGGTTTGTAGCACATATCTTAAATTCCACCCTGAATTGCATTCTGTATGTTCATTTTTTAAAGAATTTTTTTAGTTTTTGATGAAATTTATTTACCATAAACTGCAAGTTATCGGAGTAGAAACATGAGACAAGATGTATTTATAGAATATCTTTGATGTACATTATATTAATTTCAGGTTACTCAAGGTCAGAATCGAGCAGAAATAATAACGGCCACGCCATTGCATTCACTTGCTGTTTTGTGGAAAGATATTAGTGCAGCTGTACAAACTAGTATCGAACAGTGTTCAGTATATCCGAGGACAGTACCTGCACGACAAGTTGATATGAAAACAGTTGGTACCAATTTGGGTAATATTAGACAGGTTCTTATTGATTTGTATTTTTTTTACTTTTTCAACTTTCTAAATATTTTCAAATACTAAGGGCTGCATATTCAGTTAAGCTTGAAATCTTTAATGATAGTAATAAGCTTATTATGAAAAGCAGTGAATCATAATAAGGTAAAAGCAGTGAATCATAATAAGGTTATCAATTGTAAAAATACTGTAAAAGCAGTGAATCATAATAAGGTTATCAATTGTAAAAAAACATTTAGATTGGAATTGCTAAGGAGTTATCTTCAAAACCGTTACGAAAAGATTTATGCGAATTGTGTGAAGAATGGCATCCAACGCCAGTAACAACTCACATGCGTATGGCACATGCTGGATGTGGTAAATATTCAGGTGGCCAGGGATATAACAGTTCTGGCAAATATACTAGTGGTTGGTCGGGAAATTGTGGCGATGGAGGACGGCATACTGCTGTTTGGTTAATTTTTATTCTTGTTTAGGCTAAACTAGAGGTCGTTCAAGTTTGAATTTTTAAATGTAAATTTTTTACGCCAAAAGCAATGGAAAGATTGAGTTCTTATTTTTTTATTAGTAAATAAAATGCTTCCGTTGTTTTTAGGAAAATTATTATTTTTCGTGTTGAAATTTTTCGATAAATTTAGGTACTTAATGTGTACTGCATGTCGATCAAAATATTTACTGCAGACTCCGTCTGGACAGCAACAGGTGAGAAGCAAACTCTGAATTTGATTGGAATATGCTTTTTTTTGTCAACATATTGAGTTTTTGAAGCCAGGATATTTCCAGTAGTACTTCTTTGTGGAGTGTTAAGGATTAACTTATTTTTATCTCTATTTGACTACACGTTGAATGTAGAGACTCAATGTATTGTGGAAGATCAGTTTCTTATTTAAATAATTACCTAAAGATTTAGTTGAGACCAAAAACAGTGGTTAGATTGAGTTGTTATATTCTTAATAGTATATGATGTGTTTCCGTTGTTTTTAAAAGAAAGATTACTTCTCGAGAATGAATTTTATAGGAACAAAGCCGTCAATGGCGTGAATTTTGCGCTTCTTCGACACCAGCAGAATTGTCAGCAGAAAATGTAATCAAGCAGAATGCAGTATTTCTACTGGAATTAAATGCCTGCATGGAAGGAGATAGCAAAGAAACATCTACAGCAACATCGGGGTGGACGATTAATTTGTTCCCTCAAATATCACTCGCAACACCGAAAACAAGCTCTGTAAGGACAAGTTCTGTTATAAATACTGATCAAATATTCTCATTACCATTACACAGAATTTATTGGCTGCTTATTTATTTTCGTTCCAATGGAAATGAAATTGACGTTGCAAATTGCAGTCATCAGCAAATGAACGTGAAAATTGTTGGCAAGTACGAACATTATCACATGCTAGTGATCCAGGACCCAAACATTCAAATGTTGGAATTCATCACAATCATTTGAACTGCAACCCTTTACTTTCGAAACGACGAGTAAATTTGAACTTGTTATTAATTAATATTTGAAAAAATAAAAATGCATTGTGATTATAAAAACCATTTTTAACAAATCTCGTGACAGTAATCTGACTAAATACGATGAAACAATTGTTTGTTTTAGCTTGGTTCATCGCCTCTAACTCATACATCTAATAACAGTGGCCTTATTTGTTCTACGCGCCGGAAGTTGCTGGAAGGTTATGAAAGGCAACAGTCAGTTGAAGTATACTATCTTTAAGAATACTATAACTCAAGTCTTGTTCCCTCCTGAAATATGGGATTGACTTCATTTATAATAAATACTTTGATAATTATTTAGATTGATTTTGAAATTTATTGAATCATATTTTACAGATAGTTCGGAGTCCATCCGTTGCTCTGAAATCATTATTGCTAACAGCTGAATTGAACAACAGTTGTTCTGGTAGTCGAGGTTCTCCAGGTGAAAAAGTTTTTACATTTGTTGTTTATAGAGAAGTACAAGTAACTAATTTTATGTAGTTATGTGTGTTATAACGTAAACAGTTTGAATAATGTGTAAAGTTTACTTTTCGAAGAATAAGTTTCAAATTATTAAGAAATTTCGATTAGAAACTTTTCTCAAGTTTTTAGCAAGTATTAACTTATCACTTCGCCGACCAGTTCTTGCTTTTGTCCTAGAACATCATAATTTACCTCGCATACGTGAAGCGATGGCAACCGCTGTAGCTCGTGCTACTTTTTTTGCTCATTCATTTCGTGTTTGGAATTGGCTTTTGAAATTAGTGTCAACGGAATCAGGGTTTGTGATTTTTATTAAAGCTTTGCGAAACTGAAAAAAACGTAGAAGTACTTATTATAAGTAATAAATTTTTGGAATTTCATTTTTCCTGCCAAGCATTATTTTAAAGTTATTTGAATTCTGTTGTTTTCCAAATTTTGTTGCTGCAAGCAGTTAAATGATAAAATGATATTTTTATTTTTGAACCCTTATTTTTTAATAAATAATTCATACAAGCTACTAAGGCATATTTCGATGATTATTTTTTTAAATTTCAAACTATTAGTTTTTTATAGTGTTGCAAATATTCTTTGGCAATATTTAACAGCAATGAATTCTTATGCTCCACTTTGTCGTTGGCGAAATCGTCTTCTAGCTACGAATTTACGTCTCCTACCTCATCCTTGGCGTGTTTGTTATTTGGCTGGTTCAGTTGCTAACAAAATGGTACAACAATTGCATTCTTTTTTGCATACTGTTGCAGTAATTGTGCAATCCAGTGACGTTGACGCAAACTTACGTTGCTTATGCTTTCGAGTTTGGACATTTCAGTTAACAGCTCATGAGCAGGTCTGTCCATTATGAATGAATTTGTGTTAGTTTTTTTGGGTATTAGGCATTTTTTTCTAAAAATTTGACATTAATGATACTAAGGTGCAGCCCTTATATGTCAATTTCAATTTAGTCTGAAACTTTTTTTCATCTGGGAATATCTTACACGTTGTATCAAGACATCTGACTTGTACAATCAAAATGCAGGATTTGTTATCACTTATATATGATGTGTTAGCAAGTGTTGGTGACGTTCTTGCTGATTCATCTTCGGATCATGCATGGGATTTTGATGACAATGAACGAAAAACAAGTCGTCAGTCGTCACGTGAAGAACGATTATCAATAGCTATCAAATGCATGTATTAGTCTTTTTGCGAAGATTGTTAATTTTTTGAGTGTTGAACATTTTAATTTTATTAGTACTTTTGTAAAAAATTTGATCGCAGAAGTATTGGTTTATAATATGCGCGTTTTCTACGACTAATGGTGTTGTTTGAGTTCGAAAAATTTATTTTTCAATAGTATGAAAATCACATACTCTGGAACCCTGGTTATTTTCAGAAGATGCGAAATTATTTTATTTAAAAATTATTATTATCAATTTATTGAACAAATTAATTTGAAATTTCAATTTATATTTCGAAAGAAAATGTTCTTTCGAAAAAAAATTTTAAGTCATTGCCATTTTTGTTTGCATGTAAGAAAATAAAGAACTTTTTAGCTATTGCATACCATATTTCATTGTTTTGTAGAAATTTATTGCACTGTGGATAAGAACATTCATTCTAGCACAAGCAGATGTGAAACAACATGAAGATATTACTAATCTTTTACGTTATGAAGCATCGAGCCGTCAGTCAATGCTCAATTGCTTAATTGATGGAAATAGTGAAACTTTCTGGGAAAGTGGTGAAGAGGTGAAATTTGAGTTCATTTTAAAGCATATATAATAAGCTTAAAATTACTCAGTGCCTAAATTTATCTAAGCTTTGGATTATCCAGTATACAAAAACATTACCTGCATTTCATTCGTGTATGATTTGTGAAAACACTTTTTTTAGATTAAGATCTTTTAAGTAATTAAAATTCATGTAAAAAATATTTGAGTTCAGCATTCTGTGATTTAAGGATAAAAACCAATCACGTTACGTAACTGTACACTGTGGTATTCGAGATTATAATGCAACATTATTGGCTGTATACGTGGACAATGTACGTGATGAAGGCTATCGAACTTGTTCTGTAGTTGTTGCAGTTTTTGAAGATGATGGAAAACGTCGAATAATTCACTCTGAGGGACTTGATCATGTACAACCATTTCGTTTTTTCCCAGCTTTAGTATTTTTGTACACTACCAATGTTATGTCAGTAATTAACTCTTTTAAATCATCATTAAGATAGATTGATTTCATGGCGGTGTTTGTCGGATGAATTCTTCAATAGCTCTCAAGAATAGTCGTAAAATTTTCGTAAATTATAATAGCAAGTTTTGTCGTAGTAAAAGTGTTATTGCATTTAGCAATTCACTGGTTGGGTAAAATGCTGCATTTCTGGATTAAGTAGTGTACAAGTAATATTTCGAGGCAACGATCCATCTTCACGTATTCGCCAGGTGAGCATGGCTCAATAATTGCAATAAATTTTAATAAAATCAAATATTTAGGTATATGAGCAACTTACTTTTAAGTTACGTGTCATCCTTGGCTTAGATGTTGATTAGATTAAATTAAATGTCACGAAAATTCCAGCAGCTGTCGAGAGTTCAAGCATTTAAAAACTACTACTTTTCTTTTTACTAAATTTCAGCTTCGAGTTTTTGGCGCCACCAGTGACGTACGTATATTGAATACGCAGTCCATTATCAGTCAAAGCCTTTTGAAACCATCACCATCTCATCAACTGTTGTTCAGTGCAAATCAGGATGATGCGTTCGCAGTATTTCAAGCACTGGCTGCTCAGGTAATTATAATGAATTATATTTCATGTTGACTTTATTAATGTTTCATAGTTAAATCGAAAATTTAGAATACACTTGTGACTGTACGAATTTTTTCGCAGCTTCTGCTCTGTAAAAAGTCCTAGTACTTTTATTTATCAGTCAAGTTTTATACCTGTTCCTTCAACTTAATCGGATATACTAATTTTGCTATTTTTCAGGCTTTCAGCGATGAATTTTCTCAAGAAGAGAATGGTACTTTACGTCAACAAGTTCTCGATCTATTGTTCAGTCGTGTGCAATTACAGCCGCTTCAGGCTTTTGTGTGCTCTCATATGATTAGTGCTTTGGAAAGGTCAGCTACTTTTTTTGGAAAGTTTAAGTTTCACTTTTGGTTTAAATTTAAATTTCAAAAGCTTACTTTTGTGAATATTTTGTTGGACTCTTTTTCAAAATGCAAAAATTTTTTGCTTATAATGTTTATCATGTTTTTATAAGTAGTATAATGTATATAATGTTGTATACATGAATTTCTGTGGAGTTCACATTATAGAGAAGTATCATCATTACGTGAAAAAGTAAAGCGTAATTATTCTTATGTTTGCGGTTTGATGATAATGCTTGTGAAGATTTGTCGTTCACGTCAGGGGTTGGAAATATTTGGAGATAAAAATAATGTGCTTATTATTTTATCTGAATTATTACTTTTCGCCCCACAGGTATTATCCAAATCACTTTTATTTAACGATTTGATTTTTGATCTCACTTTTAAGATTGCAATTTCTTACTCATAAACATTCATCGTAAATTAAAATTGAAAAAAATCCTTTTTATGCGCCTACTTAATGATTTCACGATGGAGCTGTACTATATGGAAGTTATAGGTGGTACAGTGTCAAGTTTTGGAAACGATTGATCGCCTCTGCAAATTATTCAAACCATGTACAATTGACTGTTCAGCATTTATACAAAATCTGCTAATATTGATAGCAAAAGTTATAACGTTACAGATTCGTAATAAAACTAAACGATCCACAGTTTCCGTTACCCTAACAGTAAGTTTTTAGAATTGTAGAAATGGCTAGCAAATTATTTGGAGATGTCAGTCAAAATTTTGTATGAATATTGAAATGATCAAAAATTTGTCACTCGTTCTAGAGAAAGAATTGTTGAATTTAAATAATCTTTTAACTGCTTTAAGTTAGTTAAATTATCAGGCGGCACGGATTCTTTTTCAAATTTTTATATGAAGAAGACAGAAAATTTTTATGATTTTCTGATATATATATATATTTATTTATAACAAAAATTTCTTACTTTCTAAAATTTATATTGTTCTTTAGTTTTGGAGGATCTAAGAAATTATGCAAAATTATGCATTAAGTTTAAGAAGTTTGATAATAAGTTGCTGATTGAGCATTTACTGAGCCTAAACTCACGAAAAGAATAATTTTTGCAATCTTCGTAGAATCATGCAGCTGATTTACCAGTTTTTTGGCGAACGGATCGAGTAGTTAGCTTCGAAATTGGACAGTTAGCCAAACAATTATTGGCGGATTTGAGGTGAATTTTGAGCATTACTTAAAATTTCTTTGATTATTAATTTTTACCAAAGAACTTTGATTTTGAGTATCTTAGAATCTTATCTGCTATTTTTCTTTCTAGGCTTAATTTTCAAAATTGGTAGTTTGGTTCCATAATTAATTAATTTATTGATTATTTAAAAATTACTAATTCTTCTAATCTGTCGCATATTACTTTTCTTATTTATGTTACCAGTTACTCACTTCTCTGCTGTTGTTTTCAAGTCATGCATTTATTGCAGTGATGGACATTTAAATGAAGCGTGGGCTATTCCTGTTCGAACTGCCATTGCAAATGAAATTATGAATCTGACAAGCTTGACTATCACTCATACATGTGGTAGTGAATCATTAGAAATAGATAGCGAAACGGTGTTAGTGCCAGTAGATGCTAATTCTGAAGCATTGAAAACTAATATCCATTCGAAATCTATTTTGAATAATGGAAAATTTTGGCTTGCTATGGCTGCACTTTCATTACTCAAAAATAATGAATGGCTGACATTGTCTCAATTGTGGCAAAATTCAGAGGTCAGCTATATTTGTTGAGCTGTTTGTTCAGGATTTTAAGATAAAAAAGAACAGATTGTCAATTAATGAATCAGAAATATAATCGTATTGTGAATCTAATTCAATTTTTATTTTATTCATTAAAAAAAATATATACATCGTTCTAAAATGTTACTCTAAAATAAGCTAGATGATGTTTGTAGATGTTTGAAAAACTCAAAAATCGTTTTGTTTATTCACTTTCTTTTAAGTTTCAGTTTCTCTTATTGAATTGTAAGGTTTCATTTTTTGTTTTCAATCCATTTATTTGTTTGAAAACAAGCTGCATAAAGTAGAGGTTAACACTTTTGATTGTCGAAAATAAGTTATTTGTGAAAATAATATTTAATAGAAAGTTTTATGACGTTTGTTACAAATATTGTTGACAATTTTGTTTTTATAAGAAAAAGCAGGATGGTCAGTCCGAAATGCTATGTGATAATCACGATGATGGACACACATTGGCTGCTGTATATTGTGAGAAATGTCAATGTTCACTATGTCGAGAATGTTTTGCAGTTCTTCATTTAAATAAACGCAATCGGTCAGATAATTTCAATTTATAACTACTGACAGATGATCCGCAATTTATTTTATTTAATTATTTATCTAGTTTTTGAAATTTTAAAGTCATTTTTTAATTCTCTAGTATGTATTTTGATGGTACACAATTGATTTTTAGTAGTCACGCAACACGATATCTCAGTGAAACAAATGGATATCCACAAGTTGAAGTTCATGAAGGTTCCACGAGATTACGTTTGCCTCATCTTTTAGTAGGTTTCGAATTTTCAATTCATTATTTGCAGTCACACATATTAGTCGTTCCTTCTACTACTATATTTAAACTGCTTAGGCATCTTATAATTAGAGAACTATAGATCTCGTGAATGTAATGAATATAACATGGTTAAAATTTTCAGGAAAACAGATTTATCATTAAAATGTTTACTTCTTTTATCTTGCCTAGTTTGGTATTAAATTTTCAGTTACTATTCCATCCTTCAACTTTAAATGGAATGGTTGAATTTAATGTGGGCGTTGTTCGAGAAAATTTGCATTCGACATCAAATAATCAGATTTCCAGTACATAATCTCTATTTTTAAGTTTATTTATTTCTGTGCAAGCCTGAAATATTTATTTATATCCAACAGTAATTCGTTTATGTGCACCACTTAGATATATTATTAAAAATATTTTATTTTAAATTGCAAAAATGGTGTATGCGTTCTTAGCACGCTTTTTCCCACTATAATTAATCATCTAAAATACAAATCTCAGTGCTATTAATATGTAATTTTATATACTTTTAAATTAACTTTTTCATTAGGTGATTTTATCAAGTTGAGATTTATTTAGCATTGCCAATTTGCACTCAAGATGGCAGCCGCGGTTGTCGTTTTTGTTCTGTTCCACTGCATCCAGATCAGGTTTTTAATTTATTGCACATGTTTTATCATTAATCACATTACTGTGTAGAGTTTAATTATAATTATAAGTATTTATTAGTTTGATCTAAGTTCATCAAAGGTCACAAATATTTTGCTTTGGAAACAAATACATGCCAAATTGTCCAGAATGGTTTTTGATCTTCATTAAATAAATTAACGAAGTAGGTCCATGTTTAATATTTTTGTAATTCATCATTATAAACTATTAAATAATACTGCTGTACAAGTAGACCACTTGAGCTGAATACGATTTTTACACACTTCATCAATCTGGCTGGGACATGGGAACATAACCTCACGAGGCGGGACGCAATACCGTCATTTCTACAATAAAAATATGCTTGAAGCTGAAAAGGATATGTGCCCTCATTATAGGGAGTGCGTGAAGACGGTTGACCGTCTGACAACGCAGTGCTGAGAAATGCTGTATGACTACAATAAAAATTATATCAAGTGCTGCGGCGCATCAATTTGGGACTCTGCAAGAAGCATTCCCATGCATACGAAGTCACTCTGTTCAGAAGTTAGTCGCGAATAAGATCGTAAAGAAAAGTGATACACGAGTAAGAATGTCTATTAATATATGTGCGGATCAGCTGGATATCCTGGTTCGACAATAACCGACATAAAGTAATCTTGATAGAGGTTGGTACTTCTAGTCACAAGGGGTTGATAGCAGTCGAAAGCTAGAAGAAACGAAAGTATTACATACTCGTTGATGGGGTCAGAGATCAAATGCAGGACGAAAATGATTCCGTAAGTGATGACTTGGTTTGGGATTGTAACGAACTTCTATAAACTTAAACCAGCATATCTAATCATGTCGAAACAAATATCCAATCGATAGTGCTCAACAAAATGCTTGAAGGCATTCCATTCGATCATCGCGGTAGATTCGAAAACGAGACGCACAGTGGAAACAGGCGCTGTGAAAGTACAGGGAACGATGTAGCGTCAAAATCGGTTGTGCAAAAAAAATATTGACCTACTGTGATATTGAGCTATTTTACTCTCTTTTTAAAAAGTTTGATGCTGACAAAATTATTTGCTACATATAATTACAACCTGCAGTGATCTAAAAAATTTTTTTATACTACCTACAGCGTTGATTAGATTCTAATGACTTCAGAAGTGTTGGAAAAATAATGTCAAGTTTTATTTGGGCACTAAGTTCTTATATTATTATTCACTGGACATAAAAATGTAAGCAACTCTTTTTCATTCAAGTTTAATTCTAAATCTCGTATTTATTTTTTTAGTTTATTGATGGTGTATGTAGTCATCAAGAATGCAATGAATTTGCAATCTTTGCCTGTAAACGGCAGCTTTCATGTGGTCATTATTGTGGTGGTATACGTGATGAAGAAGTGTGTTTGCCGTGTATGCACTGTACGAAGCCGCAAGAAGGTACTAGGTTTCATTGTTTTTTCTTTAAGTAGTAATTTATAAACAATTTTTAGGTTGTAATTTCATAAATTTTTTTGGAATAGTCATTTGCAAGAGTTTAAATTAAAAATCAGATAAATTTTAAGCTATTAAAATAATTATTATTCACTGCATACAAGAATGTAAGCAAATTAAGATCAATGTAATAATTACATTCTTTTAAGAAGTATGTTGAAAAATATGTTCAAAATTTTATGTCACTCTGTATTTAAGTTAAAATTTGTGGTTTTTAGATATCAAACAAGATGCTGATGATTTGTGCGTGATTTGTTTCACGGATCGTTTGGGGTGTGCACCTTGTATTCAGTTGTCCTGCCAACATGTTTTTCATTATCGTTGTGTAAGAACTGTGCTTGAAAAACGTTGGAATGGGCCTCGTATTGTATTTCGTTTCATGAAATGTCCATTGTGTAAAAAAGAGGTTGATAAACATCATTTCTCTTTTGAAGCCCTCAACTAAAATAAGAAACTAATCGCATTTAAGCAAAGATTAGAGTTGGTTGTAACGAGATAGTAATTAGAATATTTAAAATATTTATTGTAGATCTAAAAAATTTTACATTCAGGAATTTATTGTTTTTTATGAGCTTTTATTTCCAGATTGATCATCCATCGATGATAGATCTATTATATCCATTAAGGATGTTGTTCAAAGAAGTGGTGAATAAAGCCCGTTTAAGACTTGAATATGATGGTCTTCTGACTTGTCCTGCGATAACCTCTGAGGACAGGTATTGTATTTTTGGTGTTTTCATCAAAAAAATTGAGTAATGGCTGAATTCATTATGAATTGTTTTGTTTTCTATATTTGCCTAAACATTTCCTATCGCAGGTCTCCCAAGTTATAGTTTCATATATTTTTATTTATTCATTTCATTTTATTGAAGTTAATGGCTCAGTTTGTTGTAAATATCATCTAGAAATTTGGAACTCGTTTTGAAATTTCTTTTGATATATTGTGTTAATAATGATATTCAAAGTGAATATCACAACAATCCGGAAGAATATGCAATGGGACGATACATGTATGTATTATGCTTTAAATGTGGGAAGGCTTATTTTGGTGGTGAAAGCCGATGCCAGCAGGTTAATTTCCAATTAAAAATTTAAATAATGCAATGTCTTATAGTAAAACACTTTGGTTCGTATAAAAAAATTCGAGCAAAATTCACGTCAATTAACTACAAACAAAGTTTTTCCTGATTTTGGCTGCAAAGTTTCAAAGTAACTTTTTTTCTTGAACTTTATCATTTAAAGGAAGTTGATAATTCGCAGTACAATGCGGAAGAACTAATTTGTGGTGGTTGCTCGGATGTTGTAGGCGCTCAGATCTGCGGACGCCATGGAGTTGATTTCTTGGAATATAAGTGTAGATTTTGCTGCTCAGTTGCTGTTTATTTCTGGTTAGTTTATAACTGATTGCAATGAAATATTTTTTTATGTTGCATTATGTATCAATTGGTTTAAAAATTATTTCACAGTAACAATTAAAAAACGAATGACTTAAGTAAGTAAAGGTGGGATTTAGTTCTAGAAAAGGCTGTCTTGTTTTTCTTGAAACTAAGTATTATATATAATTAAAGAATGATTACTTTGTTCCAAAATGTTATTATTTGTAATTAGTTGATTTATGAAGTGATAATTATGATTATAGCTAGTATCATTAGTATCACTTATCTGTATGCTTGTTTTTTGAAAACATAATCATAATTACGATTTTTATCACTTATCAGTGTCTGTGCGAAAGTAATCATTCTTCTGTCTATTAACTTGGTTTTGCATTGCTTAACTTCATGCTGAAATTTTTTATGAGATTAAAAAGTTCGAAATAAATTTTAATTTCAGCTTTGGTACGACGCATTTCTGCACGTCATGTCATGATGATTTCCAACGATTAATACGCTTGCCAATGAAATTACTACCTAAATGCCCTGTTGGGCCGAGAGCAATACAGTTGGATGGAAATGAATGTCCACTGAAAATAAAGCATCCACCAACGGGTGAAGAATTTGCATTAGGATGTGGCGTTTGCCGAAATATTAATACTTTTTGACCTTAGTACTGATCTGTATTAGTAAGCAACTGATACTATCTTTTTTCATATTTATAGTGAATATTTAGCGGCATTAAAGTTTTTCTTTCATTGTTCATAAATTTCAGGATTTCTTAATTAAAATCAGTTATTTTTCAAATGAGTTTTGAAAGCTGTTGTGATTTTTTGATTCTGCGATAATTTATTCATTTTTTCTGCTCTTATTTTAAATTATTTTTTAATAAATCAGTTTTTCAAACTATTAGAAAAAAATATTCAAATTACAAATCTAAAAAATTATGTAAGATTGCATAATGGTAGAAAATATAATAATTTATGTCACATATATCAAACTTTTGTACCAATCTTTTTGAAACTTCAACGAAGCAATAGGGAAGAAAAAATTGCATGGACATTTAATAGTTATTTGTTTTTTATTTTCCCTTGCAAATTTTATCGCTCAGTTTTGATTTCAAATTTGTAATGTATTTTAATGGAATCATAATTGTGTGGCGCAAAAGTTCGAGTAATTAATAAATGCAAAAAATTATGTTTTGCATTTACTCTTGATGAGGTAGAAAATTCTCAGGTATTAATACAGTAATCGGAAAAATGTAGGTATTCAACCAAACAGTTCGTGATTCAATACAAAACGTAGACTTAAGAACAATTGTTTAGGTCATGTTTGTAACAAGAACTAGCCTTCACTAGTCTATAAGAATCAAAAATAAATAAATAAATAAGACTGGCTATTATTTCTCAATCTACGTATCGTATGTTTGATCTCATTTTCTAATTTCAATGTATTGAAGGTATGATTTTCAAAAATGTGACTGAGATGATCATTTGTGAAGTATTATTGTGTGTTGATATTCCCTCTCAGTTTTAATTTTCTTCACTTATTTCTATTTTTGCCTTGCTACAAAATTAAAGCTGAGAATTTTGTAACTTTATTTTATCATAATTTTTTCTTCATTTGAAATAAATGCGACATTTTCCATACGTTTTTAGAAAATCAGTTATTTGCATATTTATTAAATATGTTTGGAATGAAAGCAAATTTTGCAAATTGAAGTAGAAGTAATCTAGAAATGCAGAAAATAATCTTGGAGAAAGCTCGTGTCTCAACAAAAAATATTCTATGCGGATTAATTTGTGTTTGTTGGGTTAAGTGGATGTAAGAAGAAAAAGTCATTTCTAATTTTTCAATGAATGTGTTAAATTTATCAAGGTTTTGTGCAATCATACCTGAGAAAAGTTTTATTATAATTTTTGGATGAAAGCTTTACTTTGAGAAGTCTTAGAAATGTGTTGCAGATAGGTTGTGATGGCAATGATATGAAGCTTAGTTTTCTTATACCTGAATTGCGTGGCAGATTCAATTTTATTGGAAATTATGAAAAGATGAGATAGCGCAAAAAGTTATTCATAAGAAGATATCCTCCAAAAAATTGCTCCCAATAAATCCCTATGAGAATAAGCTAGCTGATCGAGAATTGAACGATTAGAATTGATCTACTAGTTGAAATCTTGGCTATAATTGAAACGTCTTTTAGACATACTTCGTTGTTTGGTTATTATTTTCTGTCTATCAGAATGACAGTTCGCTCATAATCAAGGGAGAAATAAAGGTCGAGAATTTTAATGAATTTGTGGCCTTTGACCTTCGAGAGTATTTGAATGTAGTTGTGTGGAATAAAAGTTAAACTTTAGCTGACAGTAATTTGTGATTCGATCATACTTTTTCTGTTGCTAAGTGCAAAAAAGTTCCCTTTTTTTTACAGTACAGCATGCAAGAGATAAAGATGAGTGGAATATCTCATGTAATTTTTTTTGTAAGTAGCAAATTGCGCAAGTCAATTCTAACACTATTATTTGAGTAATTTTTGAGCTCAGCTCAATTAGTCATATAAATTTATGCATATTAATATGCGATTAAGAAAGAAGTTTATTTATTTATTGTTATTAATTGCAAAAAAATATGTAAAGTATAATTGAAGTGTTACTATCAATATTAATATTACCATTGTTATCATTATTATTACGATCATTGTTGCTATTATTTGATATGTATGTTATGATTTTGGCTTTCCCATGTCTGAGAATAAAGCGAAATAAATTTGGATTACTTTTATGCATAAGTAACGAAATACATGTGGAATAAATAATTTGCTAGCCCATTTTTGGTATTTGTTATTAATTTAATAATGCGTCCTTGATACTTTTGCTTTTTTCAGTGTTAATACTTCAGAATCATTCGTAATTTAGCAGATAGTGTGCATGATTCATGAGTAAGCTGTGCATTTTATGCGCAAATTTGATAAGCCATAAAAAGCATTTTCTTCTATCATATTGCTTTTTTGCATAAATTATAAGCTTATACATTTGGGAGTATAAAACGAGTAAATACATTACTATGAATTAATAAATCTGTAGTCATTTTTCATATGTTGTATTTAAGTTTATGATTCTTAACATTATGATCAATGATTAAAAGGATGTTTTCAGGGTATTCTGATAAAAATAATTGATAATAAAATTGATGTTCAGTATTAAGCTGGGATTTTGCTAAAATCTGTGAGCTAAAAATGAAAAAGTCGATGATAGCATTTTACTAATAATAAATTCAGCATATTATTTTGTAGTTAAATAATAATTTATTTTTCAATCAATAATTATTCCCAGTTGATTTGTCTAAGATTTAGTCGCAAAAAGCTTTTTTTAATTCATTTGTTTCACATTCGAGACTAAAATTTTATCGCACAACAGCTGCATTAATAAATTTGTGAAAGCATATTTCACTTCACTTTCCTTGCTAGCAATTTATTCTTCTGCAGTGATCAATCACTTTCTGATCTTATCCTCTGATCTCATAAATTTGACTTAATCATATCCCTGTCTTACACTTTAATATTACTTCATTTCAGTACTTTACTTCCTACCCAATTCATTTTATAACCTAATTAATATATCGCTCTTAAGCTAATTAATTTAGCTTGTAGATTAGACCTAACTTCATTTAGTTCGATATATATACTTGATTTAAGTGCTCAATCTCATCCCAGTCTTGTCTAAATGACTCGACTTAGAAATGAATTGATATTTTCAGAATTCGATCAATACCTTATCTGCTTAACTTTAGGTTATGTTATCTTCCATTTTAATTTCGACTTAACTTCTTCGATCTCACCTTTAGATTTCATACTATCTGACAGAGATATTATTACTTTATTAATATTGGCTCCTAACCTAATTAGCTCATGACATTATTCTCCAGATATGAGCCAGTTTCTTGATTTATTGATTTCTAGTTGATCTCGACTTTATCTCATCAATTTTACTTCACAAATTGATCTCTAGACTTTATCTGATTAAGTCCTGAAGTAAAAATGATAGACGTTTTGCTGAATCTGATCCTTTCGATCCGATTTTCCACTTTACTTTTTCATCTTACATGATTATAAATACTTCTAGTTGATTTTTGCATTTGTGGTGGTAAAGCAGAAAGTTTAGTTTTACAAATTGTGGATAGTTTTAAAGTTAATATAAAAAGTAATGTAATCTAGTCAATATGCATGTATTAAATATACAAGTGTCTTCAGTGACCTCTATTTTTTTGTGAGATCAGATGACCCCAGCAAACATTATGGCCACTTATTATTTATCTCAACTGTTGCGTCGAAATGGCTCTTACTATGCATGAATCTTCTTTTTTAAACATCAAGGTTAGTACATATTAAATAAAAGATAATGTGACTTAGTGTGGCCAAAATTATCCTCCTAATTTGACCTTATTTATTTGATTAGGTCAAGTAAAGATAATTCTTTGATCGGATTATAAGAGTTCTGCCTGATCCAACTAATTTTAATCCATCTTTTTTTCAAAAGAAAATATTCAGTCGAAATGATCTTTGAACGTCAACAAACCTTTAAGATATTATTAGAATAAATAAAGTTTTGCAACAATGCGAATCATAACACTTTAGTATATTTATGTTGCAAAAATAGTATACTAATAAGTGTGAGTGAAGAATAGAATAAAACTAAAATAAGCTTAAGATGAAAGTAGATAAAGCAGGCTTAGGATAGATGGAGCCAAAGCAAAATGAGCCAAGTATAGATGCTGCTGAAGTGAGAGAATCGTTGCAGTGAATAGAAGCCAAGCTTGAGCATGAAAAATAAAAATAAGCATGAAAAAGAAAGCAGACGAGAAGTGTGATGAATTTGTGGATATAACTAAAATAAGTTAAGCTTAGAATGGACTGAATTAAATGTAAGAAAAGTTTTGCATGTAAATAGTTTGGATTGATTATTGTTGTCTTTTTATCAGATTGAATTTATATTAAGTTAGAAAATAGAATAAAGAATAAAATAAATGTAAAATTAGAAAATATTCTACTTTTTATGAGACTTTATATTAAGTTAGGAAAAAAATTAATCCTTATTTGTTGCAGTAACAAAGATTATAGCTTTTAAAATTTATTCAACTTTCTTTAGTACAAAGATTTAAGTATTAGCTAAGATCGAGTAAAATTTGCAAGAATATATAAGTTAATAAACTAAAGTATCATGAATAGTTAAGATAAGCTGGGATATTTAGAGACAAGCTGAAACTTGCTAGGATATCATAGTTATTTGAGATAGAATAACATTTTTTAGTCTATTTAGACTAGCCAAAAAGAATGTAGCATTTAGAATGCTAGTAAACTGTCTAGTTAAGATTTTGCTCAAGTAAAGGATAATATTTTAAAAATTAAATTATCCAACGAATTTTTGATTTTCTCTCGATTTAAATGCATTTATTTAGCATAATATTTGTCTATCCATCATGATGTTATGATAATAAGTAAATTTATACAGTAATGAACGTAAGTAAGCTTTTCTGTGATCAAATATATTTTATGATAATTTCATTTGTTATTTTTTATGTTTTTATTTTCAATAAGTGTATTTATTATTCATTAATATTAAGTGATTAGCTTTTAGGCGTGACCTTTTCGTATTAAAAATATATTAACTTT